AAACGTTAGCAAAACCCACTCAAACCTCCTGCAAATGACGTTAGTGCCAAATCAGGTTTTGCACGTGCAGTCGATCACGTGATCTTTGCATCGAAGTTTTCTTCATATGCACGTGTTTGCATTGGCCTCAAGAATTGAAAAAAACACTTTTAAACCACAGTTCTAACGGTACTTGAAATGCCACGATTGTCAAATGTACAACGTGAACGTGCCGTTGGCATGTTGCAAGCGGGAAGATCAGTTATTGACGTCGCAAGAGCAATGGGATGCAGCCGTCGTACTGTGTATGACTTGCGAGGTCGTCTACAACAAACTGGCACCACTTCTGATCGCCCAAGGTCGGGTCGTCCACGTGTGACGTCACGAGCAGAAGACCGTCAAATCGTCCTACGTCACCTACGTGACAGATTTCTGCCGGCTACACGAACCAGGGCTGAGATGTTTAGAGGTCGACTGTCCTCACAGACCATTCGAAATCGTTTGCGGGCTGCCAATCTCTATTCTCGACGTCCATATCGTGGGCCAATATTGACGCCGTTTCATCAACGTCAACGTCTGCTGTGGGCCCAACGTCACCTCCGATGGACCCAAAGAGACTGGAATCGAGTCGTCTTTAGCGATGAATCCAGGTTTACCCTCAGATTCGCGGACGGCAGGCATAGTCTGGAGACGACGTCGTGAACGGTATGCCCAATGTTGTGTACAGGAAGTCGACAGATTCGGGGGAGGAAGTTGCATGGTGTGGGGTGCTTTCTGTGGGAACAACCGTTCCCGACTTCTGGTCATCCGTGGAAACCTCACAGCTGCTGCTTACCGCGACCAGGTGCCCACCCCTGAACTCGTTCCTTTCATGGCGGCTCATGGCCCAGGTCTACAGTTCCAGCATGATAATGCTCGGCCGCATACCGCGATGTTGACACGAAATTTCCTTCAAAACGCTGGAATCAACGTCATGGACTGGCCATCGAGGTCCCCTGACCTTAATCAATAGAGCATGTTTTGGATGCACTTGGGAGAAGGCTTCGTGGTCTTAGGAACCAACCTCATGTCGATGTATGTTACTTTACTGTCTTCTACTTTTGATAAATCTTTACCATTGCTATTCTATGTTAACTTTAATCTATCGGACATCTCTTTACTATTTGTTACCCTTGGCACTTCCTTCAGGTTGATGTGGACCGTGGCATCCTTTCATATATTTCTGTATTACAGTTTAGGATTATTTATTTAATACTGATTAACGCCACGCTATTTTGTGACTATTATAGATTGTATAGAGTGTGTCGGGTACCCTAACTATTACATTACGTTGTGAGCACTATGCTGTTTTGTGAGTGTATGAACGCCCACTGGGGTGATGTGTAGAATATTGAATTATTGTATTGCGTTTTAAATAATGTGGAACCATTCAACATGTGATGTTTATGTACTCTGAAAGCTGATTGCATTGTGAACATGTTATAATAATTAATTGTAACCCATACTATTATTGACTGATTATGTAAAATATGATTCAGTGGCTGTGTAATAAACTGTTCGTTTATTTACTCAGGTGTTGTGTTGTGTGTGGGTTGGTATTGTCATCCCTCTGGTCAAGCGAGCTGATTCCCCAACACTCCCGTTTTGATATTTCGCTAGTCAGCGACCCCTATCTCATAATAAACATGGTTCCATAAAAAAAATCACTTTGGTTAGACAACAGTGAACAGTCAATCCACATTTCATCAGCTAATCCTTTGAACACAACGCGTTGCATTCACACAGGTGAGTATTTGGTGTATTCGGTGTATTTAGATCTGCTTTAGTACACCTATACATGTATAAATAATTTTGACAAATTCTCTGTGCAAGGTAACAGTGATTAATAAAACATCTTATTATTGATTAATCCTCTGTATGAGTTTTCTGCAATACAACTGGCGTTTCCTCTCTAGCTTCGCTTTCACGTGTAAATTAATTAACATGCAGCTAACCACAGTGTACATAATCGCATGTGGTGAAATTTAAAGGTCACATGCAACGTGAAACAGTTTTGAAGATTTTGATACCTTTCGGTATGGACTTACTGTAACAAATTAACAAATTATCAAGAATGCAAATTCAACTTATAAAGTTGAAAAATAAGGCATTATGCAATTACACAGACAGGCAGGTGTGATTCCTGTACACATGACATGTTATGATGTCTGTTTACTGCAAAATGTTACACACAAAAATGAGCATGTATTTACAAAACCCATCATCTCTATATACACACACAAATAGCCCTGAGTGCATAGGCAAATGAACCAGCCAATAAAAGCCTTCGTTACACTTGAGTGCACAACCACCCGCTCTGACTGGGTTCGGTATCCCGGATGCTCCGTTTCTTGGGAAGTAAACCCAAGTACAAAATATTGCACTTTTGTCTTGCGATTGTACACTTATAATTTTGTTTATTTGATTTTTCATAAGCAGCAATGTATATTATATGTCATGAATAAGTGATAATATTGTGTCTTAATTATGTTGGGTTTTTTGTATGTGACCTTTAAGGATTTATAACTAGGGAGTACAAATTATGCCGTGTTGTTGGTGTTTTACGTTGTATTTTGGCATAGTGCCAATGTGGCTCCACGGGTCTGACTTTTGACCTTTGGGTTTATCGCTGGTGTACTGCAATTCAGACTGTAAACTAAATATCTATTGCCAGATTTCATATAATATTTGGTGCACAGACATTTTACTACAATCAAGTATATGTGTGTGAATGTTTTCTGGTATGTTTTGAATAAACTATTGGAGCGCACATAAGATGTCAGGAGTTAAACAATTTGGCAATAGATTGTCTTGTGGTATGACACCTCCTCAGGATTACCTCCCTTTACATGACAACACGGAACGTACGGGTGTGTCTGTCGTTCAAGGCACTGCTGTTCACTTTGCAGAGTTACCTACCTTGGGCACGCCAGAAACCTAGTATTATGGTTTAGTTGAGTTTTACGTCACTTTTAGCAATACTCCAGCAATACCACGGTGGCGCCCACCAGAAATGGGCTTCACACATTGTGCCCATGTAGGGCATCCAACCCGGGCCTTCGACGTGACGAGCGAACGCTTTAACCACTAGGCTACCCCAATATTATGGGTTTGCTACACACCTGACCAAACGAAAGATCGCATTGACGTTCCCTCCTATTTTGTCTCACCCAAATGTTCAAAATATTACGACCTGAAATTTTGAACCATATTTCCTTTTATTCGAATGCCACATATCTTATCCTCTTCCTGTGTAAACTTGGGCATCCGGGTGGTGTTAAAGTGTTCGCTCGTCAAACCAGTTCAATTTCCCACATAGGTACAATGTGACATGTCTGGTGTTCCCCGTCACGAAAAGGTTGTATTATTGCTGAAAACGATGTCAATCAAAGAATAATGGTCTGTCCTAACCTCTAAAGTGCAATGTTCTGTCCTACCCTACCAAGAGCAATGGTCTGTTCAACCCTACCAAAAGAAATTGTCTGTCCTTCTCTCTAAAGAGCAATGATAAGTCCTACCCTACCAAAGGAAATGGTCTGTCATAACCTCTAAAGGGAAACGGCCAAACAAGAGAAATGGTCTGCTTTACCCTCTAATGGGAATTGGAGGATAGGGCAGTCGTAACCTCTAAAGAGCAGTGGTCTGCCCTGCCCTCTAAAGAGCAATGGTCTGCCCTACCCCACCCAGAAGAACGTCTTTCCTACCCTCAAAAGGGAAATGGTCTGCCCTACCCCACCAAGAACAACGTCTTTCCTACCCTCTAAAGGGAAATGGTCTGCCCTACCCCACCAAGAGCAACGTCTTTCCTACCCTCTAAAGGGAAATGTTGTGTACTATCCTACCAAGGGCAATGTTCTGTCACTAAAGGGAAATGGTCTGCCTTACCCCACCAAGAGCAACGTCTTTCCTACCCTCAAAAGGGAAATGTTGTGTACTATCCTACCAAGGGCAATGTTCTGTCACTAAAGGGAAATGGTCTGCCCTACCCTACCAAGAGCAACGTCTTTCCTACTCTCTAAAGGGAAATTGTGTGTACTATCCTACCAAGGGCAACGTCTTTCTTACCCTCTAAAGGGAAATGGTCTGCCCTACCAAGAGCAACGTCTTTCCTACTCTCTAAAGGGAAATGTTGTGTACTATCCTACCAAGGACAACGTCTTTCCTACCCTCTAAAGGGAAATGGTCTGCCCTACCAAGAGCAACGTCTTTCCTACCCTCTAAAGGGAAATGTTGTGTACTTATCCTACCAAGGGCAACGTCCTTCCTACCCTCTAAAGGGAAATGGTGTGTCCTACCCTACCAAGAGCAACATCTTTCCTACCCTCTAAAGGGAAATGTTGTGTACTTATCCTACCAAGGGCAATGTTCTGTCATACCCACTAAAGGAAATGGTCTGCCCTCCTCAAACAAGGGAAATGGTGTGTCCTACCCTACCAAGAGCAACATCTTTCCTACCCTCTAAAGGGAAATGTTGTGTACTTATCCTACCAAGGGCAATGTTCTGTCATACCCACTAAAGGAAATGGTCTGCCCTCCTCAAACAAGGGAAATGGTGTGTCCTACCCTACCAAGATTAATGGTCTGCCCGAACCTCTGAAGAGAAATCATCTTTCGTAACCTCAAAACAGCAATGGTCTGTCCTACCCTATCAAGTGAAATGGTCTCTCCTATCGGCCAAAGAGCAATGACCTGTCCTCCCCTACCGAGAGAAATGGGGTGTCCTGCCTTACCATGAGAAATGAGGTGTGTCTTACTCTACCAAGAGAAATGGTCTGTCCTACCCTGCCAGGTGAAATGGTCATGCTGAAGACGTCCTTGAAGATGGCTTTTTTACAGATATTGATAATTAGTGTATATATGTATACATGGGCGGGAAGTTTTAACTGGACACACTAACATGTGGTTATAGAAAGCAAATAAAATACACCATTCTTTACATAACATAAACCCATGACTGAATTAATGGAGAAACCGACAACAAGTTGACTGATTCATCATTTATCTGTTGAACTCAGTACACTGATGAGACATCCATCAACTCAACTTAATCAGTTGATTCCACTGTGAATCCTCATGTGTGTCTTCAGGCTACTTCGGTGTGTAAATGTTGCCCCACATTCAACACACTTATGGGGCTTGATTCCACATTGGATCCTCATGTGTCTCTGCAGACTATATGATCGTGAAAATGTTTTCCCACATTCATCACACTTGTAAGGTTTGGTTCCACGGTGAATCCTTATGTGTGTTCGCAGAGTATCTGATCGTGTAAACGTTTTCCCACATTCATCACATTTATAAAGGTTGATTCCAATGTGAATCATCATGTGTTTATACAGACAAGTTGATTGTTTAAATGTTTTGTCACATACCACACATTGATGTGATTTGATTACTCTGTGAATCCTCATGTGTGTCCGCAGAATATCTGAGTGTGTAAATGTTTCCTTACATTTATCACACCTATACAGCTTGATTCTACTGTGAACACTCACGTGTCTCTGCAGATTATCTGAACGTGAAAATGTTTTCCCGCATTCATCACACTTATAAGGTTTGATCCCACCATGAACCCTCATGTGTATCTGCAGATTATCTGATCGTGAAAAAGTTTTCTCACACACAATGCACTGATGAGGTCTGATTCCAATGTGACTTTTCATGTGTTCCTTTAGAATATCAGTTCGTGTAAATGTTTTCCCACATTCAACACACTTATGGGGCTTGATTCCACTATGGATCCTCATGTGTATTTGCAGATTATCTGATCGTGAAAATGTTTTCTCACACACAATGCACTGAGAAGGCCTGATTCGAACGTGACTTTTTATGTGTTTCTTCAAAATTCCACTATGAACCCTCATGTGTCTCTGCAGATTATCTGATCGTGAAAATGTTTTCTCACATTCAACACACTTATGGGGCTTGATTCCACAGTGAATCCTCATGTGTGCCCGCAGATTATCTGATCGTGAAAATGTTTTCTCACATTCAACACACTTATGGGGCTTGATTCCACAGTGAATCCTCATGTGTGTCTGCAGATTATCTGATCGTGAAAATGTTTTCTCACATTCAACACACTTATGGGGCTTGATTCCACAGTGAATCCTCATGTGTGCCCGCAGATTATCTGATCGTGAAAATGTTTTCTCACATTCAACACACTTATGGGGCTTGATTCCACAGTGAATCCTCATGTGTGCCCGCAGATTATCTGATCGTGAAAATGTTTTCTCACATTCAACACACTTATGGGGCTTGATTCCACAGCGCATCATCATGCGTGCCCGTCGACTGGATGACTGCCTGAACCTTTCCCAATGTTCAACACACTGGTAAGGCTTGATTCCACTGTGGATCCTCGTGTGTGACTGCAGGTTACAGGACCGTGTAAATGTTATCCCACATTCATCACACTTGTAAGATTTTATTCCATTGTGAATCCTTGTGTGTGACTGCAACTGACCAGATTGTGCAAATGTTTTCCCACATTCACTTGATCTTTTAAAAGTTTGACCACACTCTCTATACTGGAAATGCTTTGCCGGACGCCCAAAATCTGTGTGTTTCTTGACATTCAGCATGTCAGTAACAGATGGTGTCTTGAGATCACCTGTTTCCTTCACATTTCTCTCATGGTTTATCATAACACATGTTTCAGTAACAGAACCAGTACTCTCTGGTTGGCTCTCTACTTCCATCATTATCCTCTGGATGTTCCAGTGTTCACTGAAAACATAAAGGAGTTGTTACTTTTATCCATCACGTTAACGCATTTCCTGAAGAGGTTTCCCAAGAACACCACTTAGAACAACAAGAGCTGAGAACTTGTTGAAACTGAAAATGTTTTCCAAAACTCAACACATTGATTGTATCTACAATGATTTTTCATATGAAGTAGGTAAAAGGCCAGTGGTGTGTAATTATCTCTTTTTTGGCTTTGTTGTAGTCTAGCAGTAATAGCGATCGTGCTCCACACCAAAGATTCGGGTTCGATTATCCACATGGTTACAATGTGTGAAACCATTTCTGATTTTCCCTATCGTGATATTGATGGAATATTGCTAAAACTGAACTCACTCAATCTTTGGCTTTGTCTTTGGTTGATTAATTGCTGTTTCATGGCAGCGTAATTTCACGGATAAAACTGCGGTTACATATCTAAAGGACAATGGCTATTGCATGATCCTGCTGAACATAGAGAATACACAAGTATATGATGGAGAGTTACGATCAAATGATACTTGCCATAAGATTAACTAAGAACAATGAATACATCAGGGGCGGATACAGCTTTTTGAGAAAGAGGGGGTGCACACTATTGAGTAAAGGGAGGGTGCACACTTCATTTTCACCTGAGTTTCAATGGTCATTTAATAAACTTTCAGGACAAAAGGGGTGCGCACCCCTGCACCCCCTTCTGGATCCACCTATGTACATTGTTCTTTTTTAGCCCCTGCATGTTCACAAGCAAAACACATTTTTGAAGATGTATTCCATATTTTCGTTGTAAATCAAAGATATGATCCGGAGGGCACATATAAGAATCAATGACTGACTGACTGACTGAGTTTGGTTTTACGCCGCTTTTAGAAATATTCCAGCAACATCACGGCGGGGGACACCAGAAAGGGGCTTCACACATTGTACCCATGTGGGGATTCGAACCCGGGTCTTCAGCGTGATGAGCCAACGCTTTAACCACTAGGCTACCCCACCATCCCCATATAAGAATCAATGAGTGAGACCTATTATTCCAGCATTATCTCAGACTCTAAGTGGGATTTTTCTAGTATTATTCTTTGTGTTCAATATCTCCGCTAAACCTTCAGGTAGCACCTGTGGCATAATAAGAGAAACGAGGTTTTCTAACGAGATTCTAAGCAATATTTCATTTGCATGTTTATCTAGTTCTGTATGTGTTGGCAACAGCATTCTGACATGAAACTAAGTTAACTTATATGCTTCACTCAGCAATATTCCAGCTATGTCATAGTATATGGCAGCGGTCTGTAAATAATCAAGTCTGGACCACACAATCGAGTGATCAACAGTATGAGTATCGATCAATGAAATTGGAATACAATAACATGTGTCGCTTTTAGAAATATTCCAGCATTATCACGGCAGGGGACACCAGAATTGGGCTTCACACACTGCACCCATGTGGGGAATCGAACCCAGGCCTTCGACATGATGAGCGAACGCTTTACCACCAGGCTACACCACCAACCATCACAAAGACACAAACAGCTGATAATGCGTCAACTATGTGTTTTTTCTCGTGGATTACTAGTGTATACAACAGCTCAGGTCGCCAGGAGAGGAAACTGAGGAGTGGGTCAATGCTCTAAAACAGATACCGGTAATAGCTACAACTAACAAAACACAATGGTCCACAACTCCAGCAGAGGTTATCGAATGAACTACCTTCGAAGTCATTCACGGTGTAATCTTGTCATCTCACGCAATATGTGACAGCTGTGTTGCTGTATCACTTTTACATAAATAAACCTCAACCCGTTCTTGGGTAGTAAAACATTCGTCTTTATTCCGAGTGAGTGTTACCATTGAACCAAGTATACTCACGATCAACAAAACTAGAGTTACCTCCCTTCCGTATCATAAACCAAACACGTTACACACCTAACCGGGCAAAAACGGTGTATTCTTGTAGGAAATACACATGGCGAGTTGACATAACCGTCATAAATACATACCTTCGAGCGACGGCTTTGAGTTGGGCGTCCCCGCTTTGCGCGCCACACACAAATGGCGACAGTAAATAGGGACTGCATGGGAGCTTGGGCTGGGACGACCCGAGCAGACTACCCAAGTCGGATGATTACTTTTCAATACATGTATAAGTCCTGAATAAACTACCCGGATCCGTTTCGTCACCTGACTGGTCACGTGTACTTGAGTGCGTAATGCATAACGTGAATTCAAAGAATCGAAATAATGACCCAAATTTACATTTAAACAGAAAAAGTTTAAAGTTTTAAAATATGGGTCAGTTGCTGCGAGTATGGCTTCCCGGTTTTACGCGCTGCACACATATGGCGACAGTCTCGATAGCGACTGGGAGCGCTGGTGCAGCTATTTTCAAAAGGAGACTGGTCAGTCTGGCTTCCTCTAATTTGGTTCACTGATCCAATTATTCTGTTGTGCGCGTAACTTGTGCGTAAACCTGTGACAGATTGCAATATTAGAGAAGTAAGACTGGTAACCCGTGTAGCCGAGTCAAGTAAAATACTTTTCACATTACCCGAGTCCTGAATAAACTACCCGGACTCATTTTGTCACGTGACTGGTCACGTCTAGCAGAGACCACATAATAATCTATTTATATGGTCTCTGCGTCTAGTCACCCTTAACTGAGATTCTTAAAATTATACATTGAGAGAATTCATAGAATCGAAATATTGACCCAAACTTACGGTTAAAGGGAAACAAAACTCCAACTTGGAAAGCGTTGAAATATGGATCAGTTGTTTCTTCGCGGAATACATTCTTATTATGGACTGTAATTTCGACAGGTTTTAGTTCTGTTCAGAGCTATTCTCGCTGCGCTGTGCAAAGTGACATCTATCAGAGGCGCTACAGCCCAACTGATACGTGTTTTTGGTTTTGATTAATGCATACAATACTCAAAGGTTAAAGCTATCCATGAACAACAGAATTACTCACAGTAACACTGTACACAGTATCCTGTAAGAGACTTCATGTAAACGAACTGGTGAGAACAAACTTGGTCAGTAGACTCAATACAACGTGAAATCGGAGTTAAATGAATCGTTAGACATGATAATTTACTATTTGAATTGTATTTTCTGTTCTGCTAGACATATATAGATATATAATGATTATATTTTCACGTAAATTGAACCATATACAGCAATTTGTGCGCACATTTTTCATTATCATGTGATTCGGTTAAATATTACGCAGTAATATAACGTTAATTAACTTTAGTACAATGAGGGGGATGAGTATGGTTTTACGCCGCTTTAAGCAATATTCCAGCAATACCACGGCTTCACACATTGTACCCATGTGGGGATTCGTACCCGGGACTTCGGCGTGACGAGCGAAGGCTTTAACCACTAGGCTAGCACACCGCCCCTTCGTGCTATGATCGAATGAAAGTGTCATTTATCATCCTATATTCAAATATGGTGTTAACGTAGTATCAGCTTTTACTGAATATTTAAGAAAATATAAGCTCTTTGGAATGATTGATTACTATTACCGGATAATTATTACATTTGGAACAGTTTGATTAGTAAGCAGCGAGGCCTAAAGCGTACCTGCTACAAAAAATGAATGGCGAATATCGTAGTTAGTCATCCTTCAAAACCATAGATAACAACCAAAAACTATGATTTTTGACTCAATAATTGACAAAGTTATAGTACTAGTCATTCTGGTGATTGGAAAGTCCCAACGGCGGCCATCTTGGAAATACCCGTCTTAACCCATAATGCACGGTTGGATTTTGGTAGACTTTGTTTTGTTGTAAAGCATACCTTGTAGGAGAAAATGCCACCAAGAGACCTTTTGTTATAATTCTTTTTAAAGTTACATGCCATATTTACCTGACTATAAGTATACTATCAGGCAGTTACTTCATACGTGGAATATTGTTGGAAATATCCACACATTTGAACACTATCTCATACATCTAAATCTATACGAAGAAACTTGTTCGATGTCACATGTTTTTGCAACAATCTTATGTTTAAAAATAATGCGTTTCCGGGTATTATACTCCGTGTGCGTCTACCAAATGATCAGTTAGTTTCAGCTGTTTCACTTCAGTGTCATGTTTCTATTAACACGAAAAAACTAGAGTGAGTGAGTTTTATTCGGCATTATTCCAGCTATATGGCGGCGGTCTGTAAATAATCAGGTCTGAGCCAGACAATTCAGTGATCAACAGCACAGCATCGATCTGCGCAACTGGGAACCGATGACAAGTGTCAACCAAGTCAGCGAGCCTGACCACACGATCCCGTTAGTCGCCTCTTTGGACAAGCATGGGTTACTGAAGATCAATTCTAACCTGGACCTCCACGGGTCGGAAAAACTAGACAAAGTTTTACCTATATTTTATGACATGATATGTTATTGAAAATTAGAAATATTACAGACCGACTGTCCAGTATCTTAAAACTGACAAGGGTCACACTGAAAACGAGCATTGGACATAATCCGCGACCAGTATCTCTGAAGTTCTTGTAACCAAGGTGCAGTACGTTTATCTGTATTGTTTAAAGGTCACATGCAACCAAAAAAATCAAACATAATTAAAACACAATTATCACTTCTTCATGACATATAATATGCATTGCTGATTATGAAAAAACAAATAAACAAAATTATACGCGTATAATCGCAAATCAAAAGTGCAATATTTTGTACTTGGGTTTACCTCCCTCGAAACGAAGCAGCCGGGATACAGAACCCAGTCAGAGCGGGTGGGTGTGCACTCAAGTGTAACGGCTGGTTCATTAGCAGATGCCGCCTTCACGGGTCATTGGGTGTGTATATATAGAAAGTTGGGTTTTGTAAATACATGCTCATTTTTTGTGTATAACATTTTGCAATCAACAGACATCATAACATGTCATGTGTTCAAGTATCACACCTCCCTGTCTGTGTAATTACATAATGTGACAGAGACCGAACTCGGGCCCCATAAATCAATGCGTTTTGTTTATGGTGTATAGCCTGATAGGTGTTAAGTTCAAATTGCATGTGGTCAGTGATCGCAGTTGTGTATTGAATATTGTCATTAGCAGACAGGTAGGCAGACACACTGGTGTCAATAAAACAAGACATTGAGTTATGTCTGTGACAGCGACATATCTATATCACAGTTAGAAATTGTGTCAACTCTAAATAATGCTTTTAAGTATCGAACTGAGAAAGTGACTCTGTAAGAAGAACGTGTGGTGAAATAGACAAATGAAATGATATAAACAGTTTATTTACTGTCATAACATACAAAAAGCTCGCGCCTGTGAGATATCAACAAAACATTAGGAAACTAGCTCACACCAAAAGCCTTCACAGAGTATTCACCAGACAGCCCGCTTCCAAGTTGCGCGAACCTATTTCACTGCGCACGCGCTATGAGCGCAGCCAGCTGTTGAAACCCGTATTCCCCAGAAAAGTCTGGGGAAAATTAGTGAAACGTTTGAACTCCGATTTCGCGCGGTTTTTTTCATCGCGTTATTTTTCAACTTTATAAGTTGAATTTGCATTTTTGACGCTTTGTTTCGGTAAGTCCATACCGAAAGGTATCAGAATCTGCAAAGTTGTGTTTTACGTTGCATGTGACCTTTTTAACAAATACATGCATAATAGTTTCACGGATCTTCGCCAAGAGTGCTCTTTCCAACGAGGATTAAATTGCAAGGGCCAATATGCAAACGTTGATCAAGGAAATAGGAATAGAGAAAACGTTCCGCTTCCATGGAAACCGGTTGGTTGCTAACAAAAACAAAGCCTAGGATCCTTTGCGGCTTGGACTCTGGAATGTAGGGGGCTGGGCACAAAGAGATCTGGATAATAGTCGGTTTCGTGAACATGTAGTCAGTCTTTTAAATTATGATGTTTTTGGTGTATGTGAGATACTTCTACAGGGCTCTGCGAGTCTTACACTAGACGGGCATACCTGGTTTGGAAATAACAGACTAAAAATTAGTAAGCGTGCTAGCAGAGGCTCTGGTGAAGTTGGGTTTTTTATAAGAAATTCTCTACTAGAGTCATTTAGAGTGGAAGTACTGGATCGTCAAGACGACGACGTCATGTGGCTAAAGTTGATTCCGTTCAGTGATAACAGTTTTAATATCGTGCTGTGTGTTTGCTATTTACCACCTCTGGGATCAACCTGGGAAAATGATGCAGAACTATTCTTTAAAACGCTACTCGAAAAGCTGTACCTATTCCAGAATGAAGGAATATTGTGTATCTGTGGTGACTTTAATGCCAGGATAAGCAATCACCTAGACTATGTCCCTTCATGAAAGAGTTTGTACTCGCTGTAGTAGCTAGCTGTTGAAGACGAATTACATATTCTGGTTAGCTGTGGTTATAATTCAGATCTCAGATATAACCTCTGGAAGGAAATAGCCAGTGTCCATCCTCTATTCCCTTCTATGTCAGCAGTAGACAAAATGGTACTTTTACTTACAAATAACCAGTTCGTAAAGCCCCTTGCCGCACTCCTCCATACTATGTTTAGGCGCCGAAATATTTCCGTTGAATACTAGTAGTCTAATCTATTGTGTTAATAAGGTCAGCATTCACTTACTATGTTTGCTATTTACATAATTTATGCTTTTTAGCGTAAGAGGTGAGGTGAGGTGAAATTGGGTTTAACGACGTTCTTGAGAATATTTCGCTCATATGACGACGTGCAAGCGTGTGTATGTGTGGGTGCGGCTGCTTGTACGAGCCCAGACTGAAGCTGGTTTTATAGTGCTATCCCACTGAGATACCATGCCGCAGTGAAGCATGAATACCCCACCCAGACACATTATACTGACTCCGAGCCGACCAGTCCTTGATGTACCCATTAATGCCGAGCGCCAGGCAGGGACCAACAAGTACCATATTTTAACGTCTTTTGGTATGACGCGGTCGGGGATCGAACCCGCGACCTTCCGCTCTCCGGGCGGACGCTCTAACCACAACACCACGGAGGCGGTCTTTTAGCGTAAGAAGGTGAATGTGTGTGTGTGTGTGCGTGCGTGTGCGTGTGTGCATGTGTTTGTGCACATGTTTGGACTTGCGTGTGTCTATGTGTGGGTGTGATTTTATTATCAATGTTTTTATACAACTGTGATATCTGTGTCTCATAGGCCATACGGCCGGATGCTGTTTTTAAATCCTGTAATAATATTATGTCTTTTTTTAATGAATTGCATCATGTGGCACGTTAATAAACTATATTTCTTCTTCTTCTTCTGTTTACATCACAAGGTCAAATCCCGCGCGTGTCACGTATACCCTCGTGGCATACTCGCGGCTGGCCATCGATGCTTCGGTCAAACTAAATGACCGTAATATAAGTTCACAATAACAGCGTTATCGTAAGTTATATCTGTAAACATGATGTCTCTTTACTATTTGTTACCCTTGGCATTTCGTTCAGAGACCCGTGAAGATCCGGGGTAGAATAGGTCTTCAGCAACCCATGCTTGCCACAAAAGGCGACTTTGCTTGTCGTAAGAGGTAACTAACAGGATCGGGTGGTCCGGCTCGCTGACTTGGTTGACACATGTCATCGGTTCCCAATTACGCAGATCGATACTCATGCTGTTGATCACTGGATTGTCTGGTCCAGACTCGATTATTTACAGACCGCCGCCATATAGCTGGAATATTGCTGAGTGCGGCGTAAAACCCATACTAGGGTCGATGGGGACTTACAGTACCTTTGCTACCTGCATGGACCCTAGCTGGATTTACATCATCCCTTCAGTCATTGGCGACTGGAATCAAAATTAGCCATACTTTAAAATAACAAATATTCTAGATTAAAAACACGTGGAATGAAAAACCCTTTGACTGACTGACTGACTGACTGAGTTTGGTATTACGCCGCTTTTAGAAATATTCCAGCAACATCACGGCTGGGGACACCAGAAATGGGCTTCACACATTGAACCCATGTGGGGATTCGAACCCGGGTCTTCGGCGTGACGAGCCAACGCTTTAACCACTAGGCTACCCCACCGGCCCTGAAAAACCCTTTGAAGGAAATGGGTCTTACTATACACACACACGACATAAAATACAAATATAATGCCAGGGGAAATAAACAGATAAACAAAAACAAAATTTTGTAAAAGTTAAGCTATCATGGTTTTTATAATACTTTTAGTACATATAAAGAGAGGCTAAATGAGGTTATTTCTTCTTGTAAACATCTTGGAGATACCATCTGCTAAGTTATACTGGTATTTACACAGCATTAATGACTTACAGTTATCTGTTGATGAGAGATTTGTAGAATTAAAATCTATACAACAGTTCTTAAAAAGTTCACATCTGATGTCAGTGTACATTGGGCAGTCAATGAGGAAATGAGTTCTTCTCACCTTCTATGGTGTCTATACAGAAGGGACACTGTCTGGCTTCAAGTGGTGTGATAGGCCGGCTATATCGCCGTTTAAATTTTGAGTGGAAGAGTGCCGCATCTCGGTCTTGAATAAGCTTTCTTTTATACCTGGTCATGGGAATGAAAAGATAATTTTCTGGTATTTTGTCCCTTTTAAATTTCCTATATGTTCTCAATCTATTTCCATTAGAGCAGTTCTTCTCATTCCAGAGACTTTGAAACCAGTTTTCATCATCTAGTATTGCACATTTATGCTTTACACACAGAAAACATGATCGATTGCTTGGTCGTTTAGTCACTGCGACCAATCTTCGATTATTTCAATTAATCGGACCACCACTATTGGACACTTCAAAAATGTATTTGCAAATACTGATACATTCTACCATAATGTCACTATGATTGATGATGATACCATATACTCTGATTACAATGATGATGTTGATGAACAAGCGTTAGATTCTCCAATAACAGAAAGGGAAATAAGGGAATCTATCAGACATTTAAAGACGGAAAAAGCATTTGGATATCATAATGTTATTACAGAAAATTTAAAATGTTCGCAAAATGAAACCATGCCTTTTCTCATAAAATGCTTCAATTACCTTTTTAACAGCGACACTTTTCCCACTAGATGGCCCCGTTCTATAATTATTCCACTACATAAGATAATTACAGAGGAATCTAGCTGATGAGTTTATCAGGGAAGGTATTTACAACAATATTGAACAATGGGATATCCATGTGGGCAAATATGCGAGATAAAATTCCAGAAACACAAACAGGGTTTAGAAAAAAACGACTGATCATACCTTCACTTTATATGCTATTATTCAAAAGTGCCTTTCACGTAGAAAACACAAATTATATGTTTCATTTGTAGACTTCAAAAAAGCATTCGATACAGTTGATAGCTTCAAACTTTGGAACTGCTAAGGAAATACTGGTCTGAGGGACAAAATGTATTCTATGCTGAAGGAAATGTATATACATATAAAGTCCTGTGTCCGTTGTGAGACGGGTACAACAGACTATTTTGATTGTCCCATAGGACAAAGTGTCCTTTGTAATACAATATCATCGTACACTAATTTGCATAAAGCCATGGTCTGTTCTAAATAAGTCGCTTTGGACTTAGAAGAAAACCTCATTGCTCATTTCTGCACTAATCTCTCCTCAGTAAAATCCTTCTTTTCCGTTTCCTATCTCCCTCCCACCGTGACTGTAGTTAGGCCGAACTTAGTTTAACAGATATTTCACAAATTAACTACATAAATTGTAGATATAAATGTAAAAAAACCCAGGTTTTTTCTATTTCCGACAGTACTTTTAACATGCCTAACCATCGCTTTCCAAAACTGTTCTATAATATGTTAGTCCACTTACGTAGTGTTCGCAAAGTAACTGGGGCATCAAACATCAGATATTTAGATATTTATTATTTTCTCTCGGTTTTTGGTATATCTGTATGAATACAATAACATTCTTGTCTTGTCTGTCACAACATGTTGCTTTCACACAGGTGAGTATTTGGTGTATTTAGGTCTGCTTTAGTACACCTATACATTGTATATATACTAAGGGGAAAAAATAAGCGATCACATGAAAGCACAAGAGTTCCTTTATTTGTTTCCAGGTTTCTTCACAAGCTATGCGGTACACATCCTCCATAATCTCCAGGGTATACGTTACGATCACTCTCCACTATACCCTGGATGCATCCACGGCTTATATTACCTGGTGATTATATTACCTCCATTTGCTGGCTCTGCATTCTTACAGTAGCCAATCAGCTAAGCCGCCGTTACATCCAGCTTGCCAGTGTCAACAAAGATAGTGATCGCAGTCGCGAAGGTTTGTTTGCAGTGCCACTCAGACTTTTTGAGAAATAATACAGACAAATTGACAGATCTGAAATCTTCAACAAAAAAATAAAAGAACTCCTTCCACATCTTTCAGAGTACCCTCTGCATCAATTGTGTTGCCAAGTTTAAACGGTTAGATAATTTAAGAAGCGAAAGTGAGTTGTGATTGGTTCGCTCAACTTCCTAGCGTAGAGACCTGATTGATTAAAAAGCCACCCAAGGGAGGTAATAAAATCGTCTGGCCAAGACGTGGATGCATCCAGGGTATAGTGGAGAGTGATCGTAACGTATACCCTGAAGATTATCGAGGATGTGCGATACAATGCTTGTGAAGAAACCTGGAAAAAAAATAAAGGACCACTTGTGCTGTCATGTGATCCTTTATTTTTTTCCCTCAGTATATAAAAACTTTTGACAAGTTCTCTGTGCAAGGTAACAGTGATTAATCCATCAACTTATTATCGGTTTAATCGTCTGTAGGAAGTTTTTATTGTGTTGCCCATTCCCCTCTAGCATCGCTTTAAGTACAAATTACATAGCATGTATCTATATATGCAGTATTTATAATCACTTATGATGAAATTTAAGGATTAATAACTAGGCAGTACAAATTATCCAGTGTTGTTGGTGTTTTATAGGTAAAACGCTAATTTGGCTTCACGGATCTGACTTGTGGTTTTTCGCCATAGTATTGCATTTCAGACTGTAAACTAAGTAACTATTGCCAGATTTCTCATATTTGGTGCACAGACATTTTACTACAATCAAGTATATTTGAGTGAATGTATACAGTTTTGTGGCATATAGGACTGGTATGTTTGGAATACACATTACTATTGGAGTGCACGTAAGATGTCAGGAGTTAAACAATTTGGCAAGAGATTGTCTCATCACAATAAGGCTTGATTATTGCTGAGAACAATGTCAATCCATACTCCATACTTAGAGAAATGTCTGTCCTACCCCAGCATGTGAAATGGTGTCCTACCCTCTTAAGAGTAATAGTCTTCCACAACCTCTAAAGAGCAATGGTCTGTCCTTCCCTACTAAGTAAACTGGTTTGTCCTACCCACAGGCCCTCGTGTCTTTGCGAGGATTAATGATTAAAAATAATATTGTTTCCGAGATGACCCCCGACTCGAAATGCTTCACAGTACAATACATTATGACATAATGTATCACACTGTGAAGCATTTCGAGTCGGGGGTCATCTCAAATTTGTTTTATATATTTTATAAAATCTTTAATCCTCGCAAAGACACGAGGGCCTGTGGTCCTACCCTACTAAGTAACATTGTCTGCCCTACGATCTAAAGTGCAATGGTCTGTCCTACCCTACCAGAACCAAGAACAATGGTCTGTCCTACCCTCTAAAAAACAATGATCTGTCCCACCTTCTAAAAGGAAATGTCTGTCATAACCTCTAAAAGCAATGGTCTGCCCTACCTCACCAAGTGAAATGGTCTGTCCTACCCAACCAAGAGCAATGATCTGTCCTAACCGCAGAAGGAAATGGTCTGTCCTACTCTCCACTGAGTAATGGTCTTTCCTACCCTACCAAGGGAAATGGTTTGTCCTACCCTCTAAAGGGAAATGGTCTGTCCTACCTAACCAAGAGAAATGGTCTGTCCTAACCTACCAAGACAAATGGTCTGCCCTGCCCTCTAAAGGGAAATGGTCAGTTGTAACCTCAAAAGAGCAATAGTCTGTCGGACTCTGTCCTACCCTACCAAGAGCAATGGTCTTGACTACCCTCCAAAGGGAAATGGTCTGTCCTACCCTACCAAGTGAAATGGTCTGTTATAACATCTAAAGAGCAATGGTCTGTCCTACCCTACCAAGTGAAATGGTCTGTACTACCATACCAAGAGCAAAGATCTTTCCTACCTTCTGAGGGGAAATGGTCTGTCCTATTCAAACTAGTGAAATGGTGTGCCCTACCATGCCAAGAGGAATGGTCTGCCCTATCCTCTAGAGAGCAATCGTCTGTCCTGCCCTACCAAGTGAAATGATCCTGATAAAGACAGGCCGGGAGTGGTTATAGAAAGCAAATGGAATACACCCATCTCTACATCACATACAGGATAAACCGACCACAAACATGTTGACTGATTCAGTCATGTGTTTATCTGTTGAACTTGTTACACTGATTAAAAAATCCATCAACTCAACTCAATCAGTTGATACTATTATTCCTCATATGGCGTCTCCAGGCTACCTTTATGTGTAAATGTTTTCCCACATTCAACACACTTATAAGGTTTAATTCCACTGTGGATCCTCATGTGTCTCTGCAGAGAATCTGATTGTGAAAATCTTTTCTCACACACGATGCACTGATAAGGCTTGATTGCACTGTGAATTCTCATGTGCCTCTTAATATTACACGATTTTCCAATTTCTTTCCCACATTCAACACACTTATGGGGCTTGATTCCACTGTGAATCCTCATGTGCTTATGCAGAGTTTTGATCGTGAAAATGTTTTCCCACATTCAACACACTTATAAGGTTTATTTTCACTGTGAATCCTCATGTGTTCATGCAGAGTATCTGATTGTGAAAATGTTTTCCCACATTCAACACACTTATAGGGCTTGATTCCACTGTGAATCCTCATGTGTTTATGCAGAGTATTTGATCGTGAAAATGTTTTCCCACATTCAACACACTTATAAGGTTTATTTCCACTGTGAGTCTTCATGTGTTTACGCAGAGTATCTGATTGTGTAAATGTTTTCTCACATTCGACACACTTATAAGGCTTGATTCCATTGTGAATCCTCATGTGTATCAGCAGAGTACCTGTTTGTGAGAATGTTTTCCCACATTCAACACATTTACAAGGCTTGATTCCAGCATGAATGTTCATGTGTCTCCGCAGACTAGCTGATACTGTAAATGTTTTCTCACATTCAACACATTTATAAGGCTTGATTCCACAGTGAATCCTCATGTGTACCTGCAGATTATCTGGTCGTGAAAATGTTTTCTCACACACAATGCACTTGATTTCATGGTGACTTTTCATGTGTTCCTTCAAAATATCGGATTGTGTAAATGTTTTCCCACATTCAGCACACTTATGCGGCTTGATTCCATAGTGAATCCTCATGTGTACCTGCAGAGTGTCTGACCGTCTAAATGTTTTTCCACATTCAACACACTTATGTGGCTTGATTCCAGTGTGAATTCTCATGTGTGACTTCAGGCTGAGTGACCGTCTAAATGTTTTGTCACATACCACACATTGATAAGGTTGGATATTACTGTGAATCCTCATGTGCACCAGCATGTCACGTGATCTTTCAAAAGTTTCATCACACTCACTACACTGGAACTGTTTTGCCAGCCGCACAAAATCTTTGTGTTTCTTGAGATCACCTGTTTCCTGTTTGTCAGTAACAGATGGTGTCTTGAGATCACCTGTTTCCTGTTTGTCAGTAACAGATGGTGTCTTGAGATCACCTGTTTCCTGTTTGTCAGTAACAGATGGTGCCTTGAGATCACCTGTTTCCTGTTTGTCAGTAACAGATGGTGTCTTGAGATCACCTGTTTCCTGTTTGTCAGTAACAGATGGTGCCTTGAGATCACCTGTTTCCTGTTTGTCAGTAACAGATGGTGTCTTGAGATCACCTGTTTCCCTCAGGTTTCTCTCATGGTTTATCATAACACATGTTTCAGTAACAGAACCAGGAGTCTGTGTTTGGCTCTCTACTTCCATCATTAACCTCTGGATGTTGGGTGTTCACTGAAAACATAAAGGAGTTGTCAATTTCATTCATCATGTTAACACATCTCCTGATGAGGTTTCCCCAAGAACACCACTAATAACAATGTGAGTGAGTGAGTTTAGTTTTACGCCGCACTCAGCAATATCCCACCTTTATGGCGGCCACTTATAAGAACAAGAGCTGAGACCTTCCATAACTTGATAAAGTGATATGTACCATGATAACATACCTCATACTGTACATGTTTTCCAAAACTCAACACACTGAGTGTGTTTGGTTTTACGCTGCCCTCAGCGATATTCCAGCTGTATGGTGGCAGTCTGTAAGTAATCCAGACAATCCAAACATCAACAGCATGAATATTGATCTATTTAATTGAGATACAATGACAATTGACATTTGTCAACCAAGTCGGCGAGCCTGACCACACGACCTTGTTAGTCGCCTCTTACGGCAAGCATGGGTTACTGAAGATCATTCTAACCCCAATCTCCAAGGGTCTGTTTGCTGGTGTAAATGGGGCGTATTGCTGTTTTCATTTTACTCTCAAGATGACTTTCATAACTCCAACTTAAGATTTGGAAGGAATTTTCCAGCTATATCACAGCGGGGGACACTGGAAATGGGCTTCAGACATTGAACCCCAGGGGTGGAAATAACCCATTGCCTGATGGCCGAGTCCAGTGTTTTTTTCTGTCGGGCAAGCAAATTTGTATATCACACTGTACTGGTGTCCAGTTGACTTTCCAATTTTATTATGTTGTTTATTTAAAAAATCAGCAAGAAAACGGTCGGTATAGTAGGAAAATTATCAGGGCAAGTGATTTTACATGTGCCACTGTACCGGAGTACACTAGCAATTTTAAAGTTATTTCCACCCCTGAACCCATATGGGGAATCGAACCACAGCGTTCAACGTGACGAGCGAATGCTTTAATCACCAGGCGTTTTTGTCTCATGGATTACTAGTGTAAACAACCGCTCTGTTAGCCCAGAGAGAAAATTGCGGAGTGGGTCAATGCTCAAAAACAGATAAAAAGCTACTGGCTGCTGAACAGTTATCACCACGTAACAGTTATTGCCAAAACATCAGTATCACGTGTGCGCGGTTCCGGTCAATTACAATTCTGGTAATTTTTTCCACGGTGTTAGGTTACAGTCTGAACAAGCGATTCTTGTTTCTTGTTACACCGCAGTTTATTTCCGACATGATGCGTTTCATTACAAGCGAGTCCAGTAATTCTGCGTGTCCAGTAATTCTGCACAGCTGCAATTACGTACTTCCGTATCGAAAAGAAACATAGTCTGCTACCACATTTACGCTTGAAATCGGGATAAGGGACTGGCTTTTAACCACTAAAGGTAAGTAAATAACAGTAATTGAGTTTTACGAAAATTCGTTTCCTTCAGGCTTTTAAACCTTTTTCTTAGTTATTCACAATTGGATTTAATATTAAACACTATTCCTTATATTGATGAAGTGATTTTTGAAAATAATCTGGCCCTAATACGCTTCCATACTTCGGATGTCCAGCTGGATGTTATGCGCATCAGTTGCTGCACAGAATTACCGGACAGCAAGCGATGTCGTCAGAACACCAGTAAGGTCAACCATATTAGTGGTGTTCCAATGATCGATTATAACCGATAACTGACTGGTTACCCTTTTCCAATGCGATAATCGATTGCAAAATTTCATAGTCGATTGCCGCTAACTAATATGAATACCCAACTCAGACCACAAGACAACTGGCAGTCACCAATAATTATACCCTCAATCCCCATTATTCACAGAAATCACAATCATATTGCGTCTACTCACGCCTCGAAATTAAGTCAGTGTAGTACAACAGAAAATGTTTACGCATATCTATTTTGTTTTGCTTAAAGTCATATCTATTGTAGCTGGCGATCACAACAAACTGGCATGTGTGTTTCACCTCATTTCATGCGCGTACAACTTTTGCTTACCATGTTCATGGGGGTACGCTTTTTGCTCCAAACACCATAGTACCAATTTTAGTTTCAGATTATTCTTAACAATCACAAACTGATTACCGCCTTGTCATCCATTGAGGCCCTAGTTTACAGTAACATCGGTGAAAACGTGTGTGAAATGGCAGGCTTATTTTATCTCATTCCATGTGCATTCAACTTCCACTTACCATTGATTACTATGTATAAAATTACACAATACACAATGCAAGGACATATTTCTCTTGGTAAAATGATAGTTCTAGATATTCGGGATTCAAAATACCCCATATATTAGCGTGCCACAGCACGGTAAATATCGAAATGGCATGGATAAAAAATGTTCCCGTGCCCTTATGGCACGCTTAATGTTTTAGAGACATAACACACCTTTGGACTCTTAATAACCAAACAAAACACTCAAGCAAATGACAACCAGGCAAAAACATTTATTGACTTTATCGCCCAGGAAATCACTGGAATTATGATGGTTCATGTAAAGAAATCTGGTTGTTTTTTCATTTAGAATGTTAGGAGTACTGATAGTTCAGTTACTGAAGAGGAAATTGTGTATGTTAGATATACTACAATAGATCGCTTGTTAGACATTACCTCACCTGTGCTGAGGAAGGACGTGATCAGACATGTCGGATCAACAAGCGGATGTCATTCGGTAAAATTATTGATGTGATGAATTAAGCTTTACATTAAATGCTTATTTGTTTTATCCAGATTCGTGTCGTTTTTGTAATAGTAAGGGAAGCAACTTGGGTCTTGATTCAGTAGTCCGGACTATTCGCAATCCGGACGAATTTACTGAGAAACGCTACCGTCCGGATTAACGAGGCTTCACTGTATAGATAAAAGTGAACCTCTCGCACATTTCTCAGCTATTAAAGGTGCTGGGAAAGCAGAACAAATGAAACATAAGAAAGCCATCTCAAACAGAAGACATATCAGTGATAACAGAAAACTGGTTACATCTGTTGTTTTCTGACAATAAATTTCAAAAGATCATCTGCAGCAGAATTCATTCCGTTATATTATTGAGTATGTTATAACTAGATCACTGGGAAATGTGTGCATGGCTGATTGCTATTTCTGGCTTTACATACGAGACAAATACACACAGTAGTCTTAATCCCTGCATATAATACAATGCCTAGCAAAACAAATTAGAACTGAAAAGGTAAATATTCTTGTCTAGTGATGTTTAATTGAAATTTGAAGTCTTTACTGACAAAGTCGTCTTCTCTTGTCTGTCTGTTCATGTAAAGCGATACAATGTCATTTTCTTATCCCCTGAAAAAAGTTTTTACAAAAGTGTAACCAATAGAAAAGCCGACCCTCTTGTACAGACTGCTATTTTTGGTCCTCAAAATTCTGCTTATCTACAGTAATATACGGTACATTTGTGTAAAAGGTGGGTAAAAAACTGGAAAAAATTGTGAGGATTTGTTGTGATTGTGTAAAATCTGCAAAAGAGTGAATTGAACAGTCATCTTTTATATATCTTGGTAGTCTGTCAATATTTATTTTTGTACAAATTATTTTGTTGGACAATGTAGACTTGGGTTGTTTGTAATTTTGTACAACCTTGCCTCAAATGACAATTAAAACTTATGGAAAATATTATATTCAGGAGTTTTTAAGTTCTTGTAGATGCTCCCCCAAGTCACGCTTTTCACAGAAAACATCCACAAAAGTTGACAAATTTCATTTAATGATGACTTTTATGACATAATTAAAAAAGACAAATATGCAGTATTGTAAAAGAGTTCAACTGTTTACCTGGGAATTGCAAAAAATATTTAATTCTTAATCAGTGTAACCAACTGTACAATCAATCATTGATCTGCAGGGACACTCCGATTGCAACCGATAATCGATTATGAAATTTCAACCGATTCCCACCACTAAACCGTATAGCTGTAGGTGAATTCGTAGACCAGACTGGTTCGTAGATGTGGAAATCCGGTAGATTAGTAGGCGGATTGAGCGATGGATTCGTAGAGTTTAGTAAAAACTTCAACTTCAACATCATTGATGATGAAAATCGATATTATGACTTTAGTGTAAGCCAAAAGTGTTTGAGTTTTGTGAAATAAAAAAAATATATATTAGGTAAGTATGATAAGTGATGAAAAAAACATCAATTATCAACATTCAACTAGCAGAGAAGGATAAGGTCACCGACAAGGTAATTAACAAAACACTTCAATATAGACACAGTATTTCACAATCAAAACAATTCACCACTTCGATCCTAATTAATATTCACAACAACTCATTGCAACCTGTTTTCGATGAGTAGACTAATTTATTTTAATCCACCGACAATCTAAATGACAGTGAAAACTGTTCAACAACTTCATTATTTTCTTGTCGGAAAATTGTGATGTGTAGACTAATTTTGTCTGATACGCCGCCAAAGATTACCTGTACACACACTTATGGTATATAAACCTCAAGAAGGTAAAGAGAAATCCAAGTGATTATCAAAATTAATGTGTTTACAAAATACTATTATTCAATTATTTATAGATCTACACGTCTACGAAAAAGTCTGGGCTACGGATCCACCGCCTCTACGAACTGGTTCAGCTATTATACTATTATTCAATTATTTATAGATCTACACGTCTACGAAAAAGTCTGGGCTACGGATCCACCGCGTCTACGAACTGGTTCAGCCTACGAAAACACCGTCTCCCAACCGTATGGCACAATGCAACGTTAGAATCTTATAGTCGTCAATAAAACTTATATTTCTAGATAAATATGATGCATATCAGCACGTTCAGTCACGTAAACCACAAAATATAAGAGACGTTAGTTGCCGTGTTACGATCGATGTGCTTAGGTGTGCGGAATTACCGGACGGCATTGAACTTGAACACTACAAGTCATTCAGCGGTTCAAGCTGAAACCATACAAAACCTGATTTACCAAATGTCGCATACAAGGTACATCATGAATAATTGTTTAAGGCTCAAATACAAATTATGAAAGAGTAACTTTGCTTTTGACACATTTGTTTACAAGTCAAAATTAGGCTGTCGACACATTTGTTTACATTTCAAAGTTACGACAATTCTACGACTAATACAGCAAATTCGACCACAGTTCTCCCGAAATGATGACAATGCATGATATGAAGGGTACTTACAAATCTCGTGGCAGAATCAGTTTGGTTTCGGTCTAAATGCATCAGTTTAGCTCCAAACACGATGCTCGCCACAGAAAAACACACCATGTGCGTTTTCGCCTTCCCGCCTGCCTGCTTGCTTAACCTCACCGCAGTTATCTCCCCTAGAAGTCACCACCCCCACAGAAATTATCTCCCCTAGTACTTCCAACTGCTCTACACTGTCACCAAGACTTTTAATCTAGGGAGCGAGTGAGTGAAATTGGGTTTAACGTCGTACTTGAGAATATTTCGCTCATATGACGACGTGCATGCGTGTCGTATGTGTATGTGTATGTGCGGCTGATTGTACTAGCCCAGACTGAAGCTGGTTTTATAGTGCTAGCCCACTGAGATACCATGCCGCAGTGAAGCATGAATACCCCACTCAGACACATTATACTGACTCCGAGCCGACCAGTCCTTGTTGTACCCATTAATGACGAGCGCCAGGCAGGGACCAACAAGTACCATATTTTAACGTCTTTTGGTATGTCGCGGTCGGGGCTCGAACCCGCGACCTTCCGCTCTCACCGACACTACACCGACCAGCTCTTCTTGTTTTAACTCTGAACTTGTAGCCATTACAAACTAGATTTTCACGACCATGCTTATTCTGAACAACCCCCACATGTACTTGTGCATTTGCCACGATATCATTTGTGACTGATAGAATTCCTTTACCCTTATATGCATACCATCCTTAATTCAATTTATCATTAATGTGATCTCTGAAAAGTTGATGGTTATTGTTCTGAAGCATCATGTTATGATTGAGAGTGATTGGTGAACCGGAAATGATTGGTGACCATGTGTGACACTGATAAGGGAAATTAGTATTACAGAGACAGTGAGAGATACTGTGATGGGTGAGTTCATCTCAGGACTTGATACTTTAAGTCATAGGTTGGAAGAAATAAATACGATAAAAACGTCTGGTATTATGATAAGATCTAAAGCGATATGGTCTGAACTGGGGAAAAACCTTCTAAATAATTTCTTGGATTGGAATCACGAAACTTCCTCAATAAGTCAATAAGTCTCTCGTCATATATATTTATTCTATGTGCGGAAATACTTGCCATATTGATAAGAAATAATAAAAATATAAAAGGTATAAATATGGCAATATAGAATATTTACTTCACCAGTTTGCTGATGACACAACCTGTACCTTAGATGGTTCTGAACATTGCCTTTTTGCAGTTTTAAATGTATTGAATATCTTTGCAAGATTTTCAGGACTAAAAATTAATATCGAAAAAACAAGCCTTATATGGATAGGATAAAAAAAGCGCTCGAGAATGAAACTTTATCCTCAAAAGAATCTAAACTGGGACCAAACGTCCTTTAACCTACTTGGAATAACATTTACGCTAGAAACTGACGATATAGTCAAGAGAATTACAAAGAAAAAATTAGAGCATGTGAAACACTAATGTATACTCTCCCCAAAAAGAAACGCATCATCAAAATAGCAATTTCATGTAGCAATGAATTAAAACGTGATTCATTTTACAAAAGGTTTTGCTCTGTTTATGAGTCCTATGGTGTTTATGTCTTGAAACATCACAACAAAACGCACCATCCGTAAAATACCCGTATTTAAGAGCATGATTTTCAATTTCGGCGTGTAGTGTCACAGAATACACAATTCACATGCAATGCACGTGAAAGTTGTGGATCTGATAGTCTCAGTGATGGGTATAAAAGGTTGATCGCTGTCTGTCGATTATTCACTGTATTTGGAATATTGTTGACGAACGCAAAATGCCACGTCTAAGTGAAGCCAACCGTCATATCGCCATTGGTTTGCTTGAAGCTGGCCAGTCTCAATGTGCAGTTGCCCGACGCATGAATGTTCACCAAAGCACCATTTCACGGCTCTTGGAGAGATATCGCCGGCAGAATGCGGTAGCAGATGCCCCTCGTAGCGGGCGACCTCGAGCGACCACTGCGGCGCAGGATCGCCACATCCGGGTACATCACCTGCGTCATCGAACAGCTACGGCGACCAGTACCGCTCGACAAATACCCGGATTGAGGAGGCTTTCCGCACAGACCGTCAGAAACAGTTTGAGAGAGGCTGGTTTACGTGCCAGAAGACCTTAGTTTGGCCCTGTGCTTCGACAACAACATCGTCGACATCGAATTCAATGGTGCACCAACGTTCAGGCCTGGAACCTACCGAATTGGCGTAGAATCTGGTTCAGTGATGAATCACGATTTCTATTGGAACGACGCGATGGAAGAATGAGGTTGTACAGACGTCGTCGTGAACGTTTCGCCGACGCTTGCGTTCCTCAGGTGGACAGATTCGGCCGCGAAAGTGTTATGATGTGGGAAGAGATCACCTGCCGTAGGAGAAGTGATTTGGTGATGATCCAGGGCAACCTGACAGCTCAACGGTACTGTGACGAAATCCTACGCCCACACATCCTTCCAATCATTGATCGCCAGAGGGAGTTGTTTCAACAGGACAATGCCAGGCCCCACACAGCACGTCACACTAGAGACTTCCTCCAGAACCACAAAATCAATGTGCTCCTCTGGCCCTCAAATCACCGGACTTAAACCCGATCGAACATCTGTGGGATGCCCTAGACAGACGGGTGCGACGCCGTAACCCCCAGCCCCAGACACTTCAGCAACTCGCACAGGCACTACAGGCAGAGTGGGCTGCGATTGGGCAACACGAGATTCTGAGACTTATTCGTTCGATGCCGAGGCGATGCCGTGCAGTTCTGGATGCCCACGGTGGTCACACGAGGCATTGACTTCAGCGCCACCACACGTCTCCATGTGACACTCAAACTGACTTTCCTCGAGTTGATGCCAAAGACGGATAAGTCTGCATTCCCAGTGTGCAATTTCGCTATATTTCATTTGACTCATAAAGCCTACAAGATGTTTCAAAATAAACATAAAAAGTTACGGTTGAAATTCCTATATGCGTTTCTTTTTGGGAGAGTATATATCTCTTCCGCCCGTAACCTTACTCCGTTCGGTAGAAATGTAGTTCTAAAATCACTAATCATTCCAAAACTAAATCACCTCTTTGGCTCTATTCTTAAACCAAGAGATGATGTTATAAACGCATTTCAATGAAAATGTTGCAGATTTATTTGGAACAGTTAACCTGTTCATGTCAGTGAACGCTATGTATCTTAGCTAGACCCGACTCGCGTGCCTGACACCCCTAAAATTGGAATGCTCCAACTAATCTTCCTATTGTTCTCCGCCTGACTGAACTTGTTGTTTTAAGAAATGTTGGGAAAACAGGGGTAAACCAATTAAGTCGGTAAATAAGGACGAATATCTTTGGCCTACTCGTCCATGTTGTTATAAACACCGCTCGGGCCGTTCGATCAGGAAACTCATCGCTCGTGCGAAACACTTGGTGCAAAACGAACGCACCACAGCACGAGTCATATTCAGACACTGCATCATGTTCACTAGCAAGAAAATAATTACAGGCATATTTTTAATCAATTGACCTGAAAGTATTTATTTGTATATAAACAGTCAACCGAGTGTGTCACCAAGTTGAGCAATGTGTTGTTCGCGCTAGAGGGCTATCTGAGCATGCGCAAGCAAGCACTCGTGTGAATCAAAACGAACGGGTTCCGCGAGTACCGGAGTCGGGTGATAGGGACCGGTTCCGTCACGTGACTGGTCACGGTCAAGTGTACCTGACAGTCTTATACATCACGTGAAATCAGAGAATATAAATAATGACCCAATTGTACATTTACATTGAAAGTTGTTTCCCTATAAATGTAGAATTAATTTCTCTCTTTCTCTAACTAGATACTTCATACCAAGAGAACTGGTCTGTCCTACCCTCGAAAGTGCAATGGTCTGTCATACCCAACCAAGTGACATGGTCTGTCCTACCCACTAAAGGGAATGGTCTGCCCTGCCCTAGCAAGAGCAATGGTCTGCCTACCCTCTATAGCAAGATGATCTGTCCTACCCTAAAAAGTGGAATGGTCTGCCCTACCCTCGAAAGTGCAATGATCTGCCCTACCCTACCAAGTAAAATTGTCTATCCTACCCTACCAAGATAAATGGCCTCTCCTACCCTACCAAGAGAAATGGCCTGTCCTACCCTAACAAGAGCAATGGTCTGCCCTACCCTCTAAAGAGAAATGGTCTGCCCTACCCTCTAAAGTAAGATGGTCTGTTCTACCCTAACAAGAGCAATATTCTGTCCTACCGTCTAAAGAGAAATGGTCTGCCCTACCCTAACAAGAGCAATGGTCTGCCCTACCCTCTAAAGTAAGATGGCCTGTTCTACCCTAACAAGAGCAATATTCTGTCCTACCGTCTAAAGTGAAATGGTCTGCCCTACCCTAACAAGAGCAATGGTCTTCCCTAACCTCTAAAGTAAGATGGTCTGTTCTACCCTAACAAGAACAATAGTCTGTCCTACCTTCTAAAGGGAAACGGTCTGTCCTACCCTATCAAGAGCATTGGTCTGCCCTACCCTACCAACAGAAATGGCCTGTTCTACATTACCAAGAGAAATGGTCTGCCCTACCATCTATGGTAAGATGGTCTGTTCCACCCAACCTGGAACATTATTCTGCCCTACCCACTAAAGTGAAATGGTCTTTCCTACCCCGACAAGAGCAATGGTCTGCTCTACCCTCTAAAGAGAAATGGTCTGTCCTTCACTGCCAAGTGAAATGGTCTGCTCTACTCTACCAAGGGAATGGTCTATGTCACCCTGGTCTGTCCTCCCCAACCCAATAAAATAGTCAATATAATGCTCCCGTTCTCTCTGAGCTGCGCTGACCAAGAACTGTTCAACGGTATCGTGTGTAATATGGGCTGAGTCATACATTTCTCGGTGTTTACTCCGTTGTGTAATCTGGTACATACTGAAAACGATACTGGTCATTACTAAATTGTTCCGTGTTGGCTGCGTACTCCTCAAGAATTGTAAGCTATATTTCGACCCTCGTCTCTGTGTCTTTTAGTTCGGTTCTAAACGCCACACTTAGCGATTCCAAATATACAGTATAAATGGTTGGGGTATGTTCATAATTTAGACCACACAAACCAGTGATTGGTATTCTGATTAGCGTCCCACACTGTCCAGGCTCGACTGACCACCGATCGATAGACGGAGTTTCTTATTGACTGAATTTCAGCAACGGGCGTTTCAAGGAGAATCAGGCATTTAATATTTTCCTTATTGAATTAATTTTACATAACAGTTTAAAGGGATAACACTTCCTCTAATAATCTTATCAATCGTTATAGCAACGTTAGTTAAAAGGGCACTGATCTATGGCTTCGACTCGGCAGTCTAACACTGCCACCTAGGTAGCGTAGCAGAGGTCACAAACCAGTCAAGAATTATGGGATATGATCAAGATTCCCTGGGTCAAAAAACAACAACCAGTCCCGGGGAACAGTGCCCCTTTAAGGTCGGGGCGTGTGTGGACGTGACAAATTAAGCAGTATTAAATGCTGCGTTTCGTTTTCCGACTTTTTTGGATTATTTCCTCTAGGCCACCAAAACATTGATCGAGACAGCATCCTCGGTACAAAGCGACATAGTGAGTTGTGAGTTTGTGAGTTACCGCTTTTAGCAATATTCCAGCAATATCACGGCGGGGAACACCAGAAAATGGGCTTCACACATTGTACCCATGTAGGGAATCAAACCTTGGTCTCTGGCGTGACGGACCGCCTCCGTGGTGTCGTGGTTAGGAGAGAGGAAGATCGCGGGTTCGATCCCCGGTCGCGTCATACCATCTTAAGTTTGGGCTAGTACAAGCAGCCACACATACACACACATGCACGTCGTCAGATGAGCGAAATATTCTCAGTACCACGTTCAACCTCATATCACCTTACCTTTGGCGTGACGAACGAACGCTTTAACCACTAGGCTACCCCTCAGCCCCATAAAGCGGGATTACAAGGAGGAAAACACTGTACATAACCATGAGGAAGTGTTTCAACTCGTAAATCTGTCAAATATCCCAAGGTCAGATCGCTCACACTGGCGACTGGTGGCCACAGTTCGACTTACTTTTCAGTGTAGCTCTCCAACTGTTAACCGTTAGTCCCGTCAACTGTGAGAGGTATTACTGTTCGGCGAGGAATTAACGTGAACTGTTCAGCTGTATTCTTGTGAACTGTTCAGCTGTATTCTTGTGAACTGCCCAGCGTTATTCTTGTGAGATGTTCAGCGTTACTCCCGTGAACTGTTCAGCTGTATTCTTGTGAACTGCCCAGCGTTATTCCTGTGAGATGTTCAGCGTTACTCCCGTGAACTGTTCGGCTGTATTCTTGTGAACTGTTTAGCTGTATTCTTGTGAACTGTTCAGCGTTAATTTTGTGGGGTATCAGCGTTACTCCCGTGAACTGTTCGGCTGTATTCTTTTGAACTGCCCAGCGTTATTCCTGTGAGATGTTCAGAGTTACTCCCGTGAACTGTTTAGCTGTATTCTTGTGAACTGCCCCAGCGTTATTCCTGTGAGATGTTCAGCGTTACTCCCGTGAACTGTTCGGCTGTATTCTTGTGAACTGTTCAGCGTTATTCTTGTGAGATGTTCAGCGTTACTCCCGTGAACTGTTCAGCTGTATTCTTGTGAACTGCCCAGCGTTATTCCTGTGAGATGTTCAGCGTTACTCCCGTGAACTATTCGGCTGTATTCTTGTGAACTGTTTAGCTGTATTCTTGTGAACTGTTCAGCGTTAATTTTGTGGGGTATCAGCGTTACTCCCGTGAACTGTTCGGCTGTATTCTTTTGAACTGCCCAGCGTTATTCCTGTGAGATGTTCAGAGTTACTCCCGTGAACTGTTTAGCTGTATTCTTGTGAACTGCCCCAGCGTTATTCCTGTGAGATGTTCAGCGTTACTCCCGTGAACTGTTCGGCTGTATTCTTGTGAACTGTTCAGCGTTATTCTTGTGAGATGTTCAGCGTTACTCCCGTGAACTGTTCAGCTGTATTCTTGTGAACTGTTCAGCGTTATTCTTGTGATATGTTCAGCGTTATTCTTGTGAACTGTTCAGCGTTACTCTCGTAAACTGTTCAGCGTTACTTTTTGTGAGATGTTTAGCTTTATTCTTGTGAACTGTTCAGCGGTATTAGCGTGAACCATCCATATTATTCCTGTTCAGCGTTGTTTTTTTTCGAATGTTCAGCGTTACTCACTGTCCTCAGTGTTATTCCTGTGGAATGTTCTGAATCATTCGCATGAACTGTACTGTGTGCAGTTAGTTTGTGTACTGTTCAGCTGTTCAGCATAATCGATCCGGTGTTCCTCTTGCAAATGATATGGGATTCTTCACCGACTGTTCTCTGTGTAAACGTTTCCGTTAAACACCGAACTAGTCTATATTGCTACCCAACGTCTGTGTCAAGACTACTCTTTTGACTGCATGCTTTTGTAACGTTGTCTTATACAAGTCTGCCAAAAATCAGACTAATCCACGTTTCGCTCCACCTGAACGCCACTTACATATTGCCGTGTGAACTAAACTGACGTAAAAGCCATTCATCGGATCCTGGTCCGACAAGGGGACGCAACTGTCACTGAGGCTTTGAAAAGGTGGACTGGTGGTGTTGAGGAAATATGAATCTACTAATATCTAGCAGCTACTGAACAACAACACCATTTATTTTCATCCCATGCTCGACAACCAAGGGACAGATGCATGTGTGTTGGTGTTTGTTTCCCTGTTCAAGACAACGAATCGTTGTAACCGAAAACGGTAACACAAATACCTACTCGTATGTGGCTTTTCAACATTGAGATGACAGATACATTTTTCAAAAAGTAGACTTTTTGACCTACTTGCAACTGGGCCAGAAGGGATATATACTTTACATGCCTATCGTTATTGAAAATATAGTCAGTTGCTGTCGTGTGATTATATACTGCAGTTTTAACACCGCCGGTACTTCAGTGGTTAGATCGGGGGCGGTGGGGTAGCCTAATGGTTAAGGCGTCTTTTCGTCACATGCTGAAGACCCGGTTCGATTTCCCACATGGGTATAATGTGTAAAGCCAATTCCTGATGTCCTCGCCGTGATATAGATGGAATATTGCTAAAAGCGGCGTAAAACCATACTCACTCACTCAGTGGTTATTTACTTATACATTGTTATATTTCTGCTTCACTTCAACATTAATCTACAACACGTGTTTTAAATTACTATTTAGCACTGTCAATACCACGGATTTGACGTCCGTATAGAAACCTGTACACCAGATTCAGTGTGATTGATAACAATAATGAGCATGTCATCCCTAAACAGGTTGCTAGTTCTGATGGTGATTAGTTGCCTCTGTTGTTTACATGCTGAGGGTAAATGGCCATGTTATGAGAGGTTTTGTTGGTGCCAAACACGCTGCATTGTCAACTGCAGTGGTAATGGGAGAGCACTCAATTTTATCCCACCCATTGACACACAGTGTATCGAGGTGCTCTACTTTGCCAATAACAATCTGCCTAGAATTACTAACAAAACGTTTGCACACGTCAAGAAGTTTGATATAAAATTTTTAGACTTAAGGAGTAACGAGATTCGGTCAATCGCCAAAGGCGGTTTCTCTTTTTTGAGTAGGATGCTGACTCTTGATCTCAGTAATAACACAATTCCTCCAAAGATCATCGAGGCTGCGTTAAAGTCACTTCCAAAACAGTTCAGTTACTTGTACTTGAAGCAGATGAATCTGAGCAGGATATCAGCGTCTCTGTTCAGTGGTCTTCGCCATACCACGGCCACGGGAATACATCTATCCCACAACAGACTGGAAGAGGTCAATATGACAGCATTCAAGGACCTTAGACATATATCCACTATATCCTTGGAACATAGCGGTATCCGTAGCTTGGACTTGGTGCATCTAGGTGAACTAGAATTTCTGTGGTTATCGTCCAATAATTTGACCACCTTCCCCAAACTCTGTCCCCAAAACAAGGCATTGTTTCCCAAATTGTCGACACTTGGTTTGCAGAACAACAAACTAACGTCTCTGACTTCAAGTAATTTTAACTGTCTCATGGGACTCAAATATGTTTATCTTTCGGGAAACAATTTTTCTGATATTCTGGGTGAAACGTTTTCTACCCTGACCAATCTAAACACTTTAGACCTTTCAAGAAATGCAGGTCCTTTGAGTCTCGATGACTATTCATTTAAGAACTTAAATCTTAAAAAATTGACACTTTCGTCATCCAAATTGTCATTTGTCAGCCGCAAATCATTTAATAGCTGCAAGTCCTTAAAAAGCCTTGACCTCTCCAATACCACTCGGGACATACCATACACGAAAAATCTAACGTCAATACTGCATGGTTTATCATTAAAAATGTTCCGATGTACTCTGTGTGACCTCACAGCTATACCGCCTTTTGTATCCACGATGATAAGTCTTCAAACTCTGGACCTTGGCGAAAATGAAATAGACGATGTGCCTGATCATTCATTTGACAAAAACATACATTTAAAGAACCTTTCTCTGTACAAGAACAAGATCAGAAGTTTTAACAGCGATGGTGTCGTGGCTTCAATAAGATATGACCTGACTTACGTCAACTTCACAGAGAATCCTTTCGACTGCACCTGCAAACTCCTTTGGCTCAAGAAGTGGATTCTTTATGACAGATCGCTCTTCCGTGATCAGGAGGTGAACTACACGTGCGCCAGTCCAGATCTATACAAAGGGAAGAGAATAGTTGATATAGGTGATTTATCTGACAAGAAATGTCTCTTTGAAAACTCTCCGTTCATTTCAGTTATCTGTGTAGTAGGCTCAGTATTTGGATCTTTAATCATGTTGGCTTTGTTGTACAAATGGAGATGGACTATCCGGTATAACTACTTGAAAAGACAAATTAAAATGCCTGCCTCATCTTCAGAAGAGCGAACACCCTTACTCCATGCTGACGTTTATGTTGTGTACTGTGATGAAGATTACTCCTGGGTAAGATACGAAGCCATGCCAAACACTGAGGAACTTGGCTGTCTTCGGCTCATTGTCAGGCAACGGGACTTCTTACAGAAGAAGCACGTTGTCAGTAACATCGTTGAGAGCTTGAACTGCTGCAGGAAAGTCCTCGTGGTTATGTCCAACAGCTTCTGTAAGGATAGAGAATGTCGGTTTGAATTGTCCTTGGTCCAGAAACGTTTAGAGGACCAACTTCAGGCACTGGTGGTGGTCCTCCTAGAGGACATAGAGGACAGGTACATGTCAGCTTCAATGTCCTCCTTCCTTCAGAGCACTACCGTGTTTACCTGGTCTGCCGATTTAGTCAACATTGACACTTTCTGGGGGAGCCTTCTCGCTGGTCTTCGAGATTAACGCACAGGTCTCAATCACCCACACTTTGGGCTAGGACGAGTAAGTCGGTTACTCTGACTGGATACCCGTGCATGTCCGGGTTAGAATTGATCTTCAGCAACCCATGCTTGTTGTAAGAGGAGACTGACGGGGTCGGGTGGTCAGGCTCGCTGACTTGGTTGACACATGTCATCGTATCCCAAATGCATAGATCGATGCTTATAATGTAAATCACTGGATTATCTGGACCAGACCCGATTATTTACAGGCTGCCGTCATATAGCTGGGATATTGAACATAAACAACAAAGAAACAAACAAAAGCATCTTCTGGTCTTGTCTTAGACAAGACTCTTTAATAAATCACTTGAACCATTGTTCTGGATTTCAGTGGAACGTTCACTTTGTGATCTTGTACAAAATAGTCTCGCCCGTGATTGTTATCCGAAACAAATTTTGCGTACAAAGAATGCACAGTACGGACATCTTCACCTGCACGTGCAGCCGTAGTTCCTGACACGCTGATAACTGTCATCTATATTTTCGAGAATAAACATTTTCAACATTAATTCCATTGTAACATAACGACATTTATTATGTGACTATTTATGTTAAATATCGGTTTCCTGGTTGCCAAGAGTATAATATCAAAAATAACGCTTTGAGTCTTTTTTCCATTTTGTGATGTTATTGTACTGACTTTAAGAGTTTTACAGCATGAAATTCAAATTTGCAGTTTACATATTTGTTTTCATATATACTTGTTTGCATGCTATAGCTAAACGATAATAAACACGCACACATGCACACACACGCACACACACACACGCACACACACATATGTACACACACACAGACACAGAGTTGTATATAATCCACCATACTGATACAAAAATCCACACGCACACATGCAGACAAACAAACCCTGATAATCCTGATGGAAATGCTCTATATATCCTACTGCGCTTTTTTCCTCATAGCATTAACTGATGCGCCACTTCACCTCGTTCTTTCCTTGCTAACTATACCTGGATGTATGCATAACATATCATGTTTATCAGTAAATACATTGTTGACAGTCAGACGTTTCAGATTCGTGTTGTGCATGTTGTTTCAGTGTTGTTCTTCCAAATGTAGCGTTAATCACAATACTGGAAGGTCGGGGTAGCCTAGTAGGTCAGTCGTACGCCCGTCACGCCGAGCCCCGGTTCGAATATCTACTTTCGCGCGATTTTGAAAATCCAGAACACTACCACTACAGTTAAACTAGTCATATAAGTATGTGTGTGGGAAAATGTAACATAGTACACGTTATTATGTCATCAACACAGTACACAGTAGTATGTTATCAACATAGTACACAGTATTATGTCATCAACATGGTACACAGTAGTATGTCATCAACATAGTACACAGTAGAATTTCATCAACACAGTGCACGTTATTATGTCCTCAACATAGTACACAATAGAATGTCATTCGCATAGTACACAATAGAATGTCATCAACATTGTACACAGTATTATGTCATCAACATAGTACAAGTAATTATGTCATCAACATAGTACACATTAGAATGTCATCAACATAGTACACAAGAGAATGTCATCAACACAGTACACAGCAGTATGTCATCAACATAGTACACAATAGAATGTCATCAACATAGTACACAGTATTATGTCATCAACATAGTACACAGTATTATGTCATCAACATAGTACACAGTAGTATGTCATCAACATAGTACACAGTAGAATGTCATCAACATAGTACACAGTAGAATGTCATCAACATAGTACACAGTAGTATGTCATCAACATAGTACACAATAGAATGTCATCAACATAGTACACAGTATTATGTCATCAACATAGTACGCAGTAGCATGTCATTAAGAAAGCACACAGTATGATGTCATCAACATAGTACACAGTATTATGTCATCAACATAGTACACAGTAGCATGTCATTAACATAGTACACAGTATTATGTCATCAACATAGTATACAGTAGTACGTCATCAACATAGCACACAATAGAATGTCATCAACATAGTACACAGTATTATGTCATCAACATAGTACACAATAGAATGTCATCAACATAGTACACAGTATTATGTCATCAACATAGTACACAGTATTATGTCATGAACATAGTACACGTTATTATGTCATCAACATAGTACACAATAGAATGTCATCAACATAGTACACAGATTTATGTCATCAACATAGTACACGTTATTATGTCATCAACATAGTACACAACAGAATGTCATCAACATAGTACACAGTAGTATGTCATCAACATAGTACACAGTAGAATGTCATCAACATAGTACACAGTAGAATGTCATCAACATAGTACACAGTAGTATGTCATCAACATAGTACACAATGGAATGTCATCAACATAGTACACAATAGAATGTCATCAACATAGTGCTCAATAGAATATCATCAACCTAGTACACAGTAGTATGTCATCAACATAGTACACAGTAGCATGTCATTAACATAGTACACAGTAGTATGTCATCAACATAGTACACAGTAGTATGTCATCAACATAGTACACAATAGAATGTCATCAACATAGTACACAGTAGTATGTCATCAACATAGTACACAGTATTATGTCATCAACATAGTACACGTTATTATGTCATCAACATAGTACACAACAGAATGTCATCAACATAGTACACAGTAGTATGTCATCAACATAGTATTATACACAGTAGAATGTCATCAACATAGTACACAGTAGAATGTCATCAACATAGTACACAGTCAGGATGTCATTAAGATATGCACACAGTATTATGTCATCAACATAGTCATCAACATAGTACACAGTAGAACAGTATGTATGTCATCAACATAGTACACAGTAGTATGTCATCAACATAACATATGTACAACATAGTACACAGTAGCATGTCATTAACATAGTACACAGTATTATGTCATCAACATAGTACACAGTATTATGTCATAAACATAGTACACAGTAGTATGTCATAAACATAGTACACAGTATTATGTCATCAACACAGTACACAGTAGTTTGTTATCAACACAGTACACAGTAGTATGCCATCAACATAGTACACAGTAGTATGTCATCAACACAGTACACAGTAGTATGTCATCAACACAGTACACAGTAGTATGTCATCAACATAGTACACAGTATTATGTCATCAACACAGTACACAGTAGTATGTCATCAACATAGTACACAGTATTATGTCATCAACATAGTACACAGTATTATGTCATCAACATAGTACACAGTATTATGTCATCAACACAGTACACAGTAGTATGTCATCAACACAGTACACAGTAGTATGTCATCAACACAGTACACGGTAGTTTGTCATCAACATAGTACACGGTATTATGTCATCAACATAGTACACAGTATTATGTCATCAACATAGTACACAGTAGAATGTCATCAACATAGTACACAGTAGTTTGTCATCAACATAGTACACAGTAGTATGTCATCAACACAGTACACAGTAGTATGTCATCAACATAGTACACACTAGTTTGTCATCAACATAGTACACAGTAGTTTGTCATCAACATAGTACACAGTAGTATGTCATCAATGATCGTATGGTCAAGCTCGCTGATTTGGTTGACACAGTCATCGTATCCAAAGTGCGTAGATCGAAGCTCATGATGTTGGGACCGCCTCGGTGGTCCGCCGTAGTGGTTAGAGTGTCCGTCCGGAGAGCGGAAGGTCGCGGGTTCGATCCCCGGCCGCGTCATACCAAAAGACTTTAAAATGTGGTACTTGTTGGTCCCTGCCTGGCGCATTAATGGGTACAACAAGGACTGGTCGGCTCGGAGTCAGTATAATGTGTCTGAGTGGGGTATTTATGCTTTACTGCGGCAGTGAGCTAGCACTATAAAACCAGCTTAAGCCTGGGCTAGTACAAGCAGCCGCACATACACATACACACGCATGCACGTCGTCATATGAGCGAAATATTCTCAAGTACGACGTTAAACCCCATTTCACCTCACCTTATGCTGTTGGTCATCTACAGAGGGCCGCCCTTTAGCTGCAATATTACCACTTTTCGACGTTTAACAACAAACAAACAGCTGGATTGGTAAAGTTTGGACTGCCCGGGCTCCATATACAGATCCTGTGAATCGTTAACATTTTCAGTTTTATACCACTTTGTCCATAGATCTGTAGGTACCCGTTTCCACACAGTGGATGGCCTGGACTAACAACTACTCCCTGAAATGAAGACATTTTACTGAAAAATGGTTCTTAAAGTATACACATTAAATATGATTTATATAATATAAAGGAACACAAAAACATTCTTTATTTTCAGACTTGAAAATATTGGTAATATTGCCACATATTCCATACTTGCATGGAGTGCATTGGGTATACTTGTTTCAGGGTCTGTGTGGCACACCGTGGTTGGCGATACAGTGTTTAATGTTAAAGGAGTTTCATACTCCTTATAGACATAAGTATTTAAAACAAATGCAGGGATTGGCAATCTGTAAATTTACTCAGAATATATAAACACAATGTTTGTTAACTATGTGTATAAAGTGAAAATAATCTACTACAACCGTGCAGTCAACATTTCCTGTTAGTCTCCCTGTGTACTTTCAGAAGCATTACGTCGTTGTGTTCTAATTGGACTGAGCTGGGATATCATACTTTGTAACATTTACTTATGACGCATGACTGGAAGGTTAATACATCCGGGTAAGTAATCCATTCGTGACCAGCTCGTGTAATTCCGTGACTGGGGCTCGTGCCCCTCTAGAATTCGATACTGGTTTGTCTAAAGGAATACTACAGACAAGTACTGATACTGGTAGACTGGTACCCTGTCTTTCGTCTCCTTGCGGCTTCACGGCATTGATGAGCGCATGCGCTCTGTGGAAAGCGAATCAGTTGAGATTGCAGTTTATGGAATTGGGCAGGGTAGCCAAGTGGCTAAGGCGTTCTATCGTCACGCCGAAGACACGGATTCGATTCCTCTCATGGACGCAATGTATAAAGCCCATTTATTGTGTCCCCAGCCGTGATATTGCTAAATGTAAAACTAAACTCTCTCACTGTTATAAAAGAACATCGTATTCCGGAGTTTATTATACACCTAACAAGGGAAGTCATTAGTTGATTGGTAAAAGCAACGAACAAATGGAAGCCAGGAGAAGTGAGTGAGTTTTGGTTTACGCCGCTTTTAGCAATATTAAAGGTCACATGCAACGTAAAACACAACTTTGCAGATTCTGATACCTTTCGGTATGGACATAGCGAAACAAATCATCAAAATGCAAATTCAACTTATAAAGTTGAAAAATAACGCGATGAAAAAAGACGCGCGAAATCGGAGTTCAAACGTTTCACTAATTTTCCCCAGACTTTTCGGGGGAAAACGGGTTTCAACAGCTGGGCTGCGCTCATAGCACGTGCGCAAGTAAATAGGTTCGCACAGCGTGGAAGCGGGTTGTCGGGTGAATACTCGGTGAAGGCTTTGGTGTGAGCTATTTTTCTAATGTTTTGTTGATATCTCACAGGCGCGAGCTTTTTATATGTTATGACAGTTAATTAACTGTTTATATAATTTCATTTGTCTATTTCACCACACGTTCTTCTTACCGAGACACTTTCTCAGTTCGATACTTAAAAGCAATGTCATTATTTAGCGTTGACAGAATTTCTAACTGTGATATAGATATGTCGTTGTCACAGACAAAATTCAATGTCTTGTTTTATTGACACCTGTGTGTCTGCCTGCCTGTCTGCTAATGACAATATTCAATACACAGCTGCTATCACTGACCACATGCAATTTGAACTTAACACCAATCAGGCTATACACCATAAACAAAATGCATTGATTTATGGCCCGAGTTCGGTCTCTGTCACATTATGTAATTACACAGACAGGCAGGTGTGATACTTGAACACATGACATGTTATGATGTCTGTTGATTGCAAAATGTTATACACAAAAAATGAGCATGTATTTACAAAACCCAACATCTCTATATATATATACACACAGTTAGCCGTGAAGGCATCTGTAAATGAACCAACCGTTACACTTGAGTGCACACCCACCCGCTCTGACTGGGTTCGGTATCCCGGCTGCTTCGTTTCTTGGGAAGTAAACCGAAGTACACAATTTTGCACTTTCGATTAGCGATTGTACGCTTATAATTTTGTTTATATATTTTTTCGTAACCAGCAATGTATATTATATGTCATGAATAAGTGATAATTGTGTTTTAATTATGTTTGATTTTTTGGTTGCATGTGACCTTTAAAGGAATATCACGGCGGGTCACCACAAATGAGGCTCACACATTGTAGAGAATCGAACCCGGGGCCTTCGTCGTGACGAACGAACGAACGCTTTAATTGTTGATCCATCCCACCGCCCTGGAAGCCAGGAGTAAATTATTACAGATTGATAATATGCACTTACTGCACTACGAACAAAGGGGTAGTGGGGTGGGCTCGTAATTAGCACTGGTTGGAAATAGTGATGGACTAAGACAAGTCTGTGGACAGATAAAGGAGACACTCAGACAATAGAAGAAGAAAAAAAGACATAGTTTAAACATTTTTCGCTTGCCCCTCTACGGTTTATTTGTATGGTGGCAATGACAGGTGACGTTAAAAAGAATATTAGATCGAACGCAATGCTCGTAGCCCGGTGCTACAAACAAAGCGGAGACTTCTCTTACTTTCATGTATGTTCATGTAACAATCCCCATTCGCTTTTGGTGACAAAAAGGCAGTTACAGTTTTGTACACTTCAAGCAATAAAGGGAAGTAACTCCGAATGTTGTATTCGACCATAAATGTCTCGATCTTCACACACAATAAAAGCTATTTATCGAACAGGGTGCACAAGATTTTAGAGGTATGATATTATTAGATCATGTGGCATCGGATAATCCAATCATTCTTTGCTGTTAACCACTGTAGGTACTTTTGTTTATAACATTATTGCATACGATGCATTGTCTGGTCGCCGAAAGGCCCGAATCCTTGTTATGATGATGATTGTGATTGGTATTGATAACAGTTGTTGTAAGTATTGTGGGTATTACTTTTACGTTGTATCGTTGGTATATTTATCTCAAACATTTTCAGGAAGCATGCAGGTTATTTGGAAATAAATGCTTTTTGTTAATGTAATATATTATTCATAGAAACACAATACCCAATCAAATATAGAGACTTAATAGTAGTGTTGGGAATTGGTTAAACTCTAATAATTGATGATTGGTCCGTTACAACCGAACAATCATCGAAAATAATTGGTTAGCGTCATTTATCAAATATTCCTGTTATCTTTGTTAATGCACACAGAAACATAAAGAAATAACATGTAGTAATTTGGGTTTCTTGCAAATTACATAAAATCCATTTGCAAATTTAAATGATGATTAGTATGTTAGGAATGCATATTTCCTGGATTCTTTAAGATAAATTCAATCATGACTTGGAACGAGCTTGTAGTGCTTATGAAATGTAAATTTATTGACGCAGACAAAACCAACCTTGTGAAAAATATTGTTAATGCAAACAAGTGTTCCAAGATTGGTTGCGTTCGATTATGAGAAAACATGTTCGATTGCTTGCTTGTTTAATCACTGCGATCAATCTTCAATTATTTCAATTATTCGGACCACCACTACTTAATAGCTAACTATTTTTTTGTGATTAACCATGGAAGTGTAAATGTCCACATCTACTTGGCTATTTGGGTCATCAGTTGTTTGAAATATCAGAGATCTATGAATCAACATGGAGACATAAACCATTTGAGCATGCCAATCCAATGTCACTACCTTATTGTAAACTACGGATTCTCATTTAGTAACTTACAGCTCGAAAGTACTCATTGAGGCATCAAACAAAGAAATGTCAGGAGACTACTAACAATTCTACGACCCGTGAATATCCAGGGTAGAATAGGTCTTCAGCAACCCATGCTTGCCACAAAAGGCGACTAACAGGATCGGGTGGTCAGGCTCGCTGACTTGGTTGACACATGTCATCGGTTCCCAATTGCGCAAGTCGATGCTCATGCTGTTGATCACTGGATTGTCTGGTCCAGACTTAATTATTTACAGACCGCCACCATATAGCTGGAATATTGCTGAGTGCAGCGTAAAACTAAACTCACTCACTCACTAACAATTCTACAACACTAACCATCTTCAAAACCTCACCTTAGCAAATGTCACAAAATTTACTGTTGCCAAACAACACATTTTTCTCTGGAAAAGGCAAATGTTGTCATTGTTAAGAAGATTTGTGTAGCTGTGTATCTATCATTCATTGTGAACATATTTCTCTACTTGTCACAGCAGTACTTTTCTAAAGCCATTTATTTATTTATTTATTTATTTATTTATTTATTTATTTATTTATTTATTTATTTATTTATTTATTTATTTATTTATTTATTTATTTATTTATTTATTTATTTATTTATTTATTTATTTATTTATTTATTTTTAAGTTTTATTTCCCAGCAGATGCTTACATGTACATAAATACGTAGATACATAATCATTTTTACATTACATACACATTCTTTAAGTTTACAATTTAAATATAAAGACTCAGAAGTCTACAAAAATGTGTGGAAAGAGAACCAAAATGCAAAGAATTTGAACCGATTATTATTTGTGAAAGCAATAAATTTGCATGCCTGATGGTATCTTAATATTTCTTTTTGGATACATTTAAAATTGTTTTTTTTCCCTTTTCTGCTCATGGGGTAGATGTTTTGTTTCACCATCAAACAGATAGCATTTAGTGGGTTATTATTCCTACTCTTGAAACAAAAAATAATATTTTCTAGTGTTTAATCAATGTATCCTTCCGCTAACTTCCACTAAAAGTTAGCTAAAGCCATTTATGCTTTCTCTCACAGCATTGTCACAGTTCATTTCCTGCCTGTCTTTCCTAATTAAACCCAACTGTTAAGTTGTGCATCCCAGTTAAAGTCAGCAAGTAAATTGGAGAAGGGGTAACATCTGATGTAAACATTTTTTTTACCTTTTTGTGAACAATATGTGTGTGTTCCTCATTGGCAGCATATTTGTAAGAATATAATGAAAATGCTTCTTCTAGTAGAAGCAATTTTGGTTTGGGCAAAGCCCTGTTTTTGCCAGCGAGTACTGTTTTTGCCAGCTAGTGTTTTTGCTCACTTACGTTTTACTGAGGTGCTGATTTAGCTATGAACCACTGGCTGCACATCATAAGATATCTGTAAAACCTGTATGCCAATCCCTGCTTGTGATGTTGATCACTGGATTGTCTTGTTCAGACTCGATTATTTACAGACTGCCGCCATATTGCTGGAATATTGGTGAGTGTGGCTGTAAACAACAAACCAACCAACCAACAAACATAATCCATGCAGACTCTGTTCTGATCCAAACAAAAAATTAAGCTTGAAGTTTTGTTAAGTACTTGCATTACTCATCAAAATTTTGTACGATTCATTTTGTTGTTTGATAATTCCTTATTTCCTGAACATCTGACAACAGTTATGGCAGAGATAGAAAGTATAGTTTTTTAGAGACCCGTGTATGATCTCAGGTTGTTTTTATCTTCAATGAATTTTTTAAATCAGTCCCAGAAGATACGTCGAGCGTTTACAATGAATACTTCCTGTTTCAGGATGAGGTTACTTCCTGCTGAGATCAACTCTCCTCATGGGGGTGCCTGTGATGATGAGACAGCCGGGCAGTATGGGGGATGACTGAAGTCACACGACAGACAACACTGACAGTATGGAAGGCACTTCTGTCATCATGAACGAAACTGATGAAACAGACAGGGCTCGTATCAATTACGATTGTTCTGAAGATGGCGAGAACTTTACTGCCATTACATCCAATGATGACAGTGTTGTGGTAACAAGAAATAAATCAGACTGCTCAGATTCTGAGATGAAGTCTGAGTCTAACGATTGCTTATCAATACCATCAGGTGAACCTGCTGAACTGAGCATTGAATCAAAACCTTGCCAAAGACACAAAGTTAAGTCCAGTACCCAGCAGATCGAGCGAGTACTATTTATGTGTGGTGACTGTAACATATCCTTCCCTGGTTTCAGAGCCTTGCAGAAACACATGAACATCCATCCCAAGAAAGAGCGTGTATACAAATGTGGTATATGTGCAAAAGTCCTGCATTCCGCTCAGTACCTAAAGATTCATCTAAGGGTACATACAGGTGAAAAACCCTTCACATGTGAGATCTGTGATCGTACGTTTGGTCACCGATCAAACCTAAAAGCTCATCGGAAGAGCCACACAGGGGGAGACAACCTGGAATGTGATGTGTGTGGAAAACATTTCGCTCTCAGTTGGCGCCTCAAGGTTCATAAGAAGATCCACATGGTAGAGAAGGAATTTATCTGCGGAATCTGTGGCAAGGGGTTCGTTGACAAGACGGAGTTAAAGCGGCATATGTGTGTTCATGCAGATAAGACAGATCATCAGTGTGAGCTTTGTGGGAAGTATTTTAGTCGAGACCATGCTTTGAAGATGCACCTGAAAATCCACACCGATGAAAGACCTTTCCAGTGCAATGTTTGTGAAAAATGGTTTCGGACACCGACCCACCTGAAAACTCATCAGCTTATACACTCCGGGGAGCGGTCACACAAGTGTGAGTACTGTGGTCGAGCATTTGTCTGTCCATCTCACCTTCAAAGGCATGTGAAGAACCACACTGGGGAGAAGACCCATACGTGTTCCGAATGTGGTCGGCAGTTCACTAGATCAGACCACCTTCAACGACATATGGTGACACACACTGGGAAACGTGATTTTAAATGTGTGCAATGTGGAAAGGAGTTCATTGACAGATCAGATTTGAATTATCACACAAATAAAGTACATGCAGGTGGAAAAGATTATTCCTGTGATCTGTGTGGTAAAGTTATGTCAGGCGCACAAGCTCTCAAGAAACATGTGGAAGCACATTATGGCTCTAAGCAGTTTAAGTGTGACCTCTGTGGAAAGGAATATGCCGCAGCGGTTTCATTGAAAAATCATATGATTGCCCATACAGGATTCATCCCATTTAAGTGTGACGTGTGTGGGCGTTGTTTTACAGAACCAGCTCGTCTAAATCGCCATATGATAATCCACACAGGGAATACACCATTCAAATGTGGAGTTTGTGGGAAGGGTTGTTCTGACAAGTCGAACCTACAGAAGCACATGATTCTCCACACCGACCAGGTATTCAGCTGTGCCCTTTGTCAGAGAGAGTTCAAGGGGTCACACGGCCTGAACGCCACATGCGAACTGTCCACAAGGAACAGTACCAAAAACAGATCGAAGAACAAACGGAAAGACTGAAGGTGAAAATAGCTGAAATGGATGAGGACCCAACCCCTGAAACTCACACCGAGGTTAACAAGAGCTCTAAAGATGGAACGAATGTGGTGCTGAAGTGTGACATCTGTGGGTTGAGGTGTTTAGGGAGTCTTAATCTCCTGCAGCATGTTCAGGAGATCCATGCAGCTGCAGCATCTACAGACACAGACCCATCAAAGACCAACTGCCAAACAGAGGGTGATGAGGGTTACGATCCAGACAGATCTCCTCCAGCTTGGGCTCTGGAACCAGAAACATCACCTGTTCTGGATGATAACCAGGAGTTTGAGTAGAATGATGTTTAGTGTTGCAGCTTTTCTGCTGCAGTGCTGGGTCTGCCTTTAGGACTGGGTTTTCCTGAGCAAGAACATCTTAGCAAGGTTAGGGTAGGGCATTCTTCATGCAAAGTTTGTCTCGTGTAACAATTTTTGTTGCCTCCTGGGTTTTCCTGAGGAACAAACTGTAAGGTCCTGTAGCAGAGCTGGGTTTTCCCGAGGAAGATATTGTAAGGTCCTGTAGCAAAGCTGGGTCTCCCTGAGGAACAAACTGTAAGGTCTGGTAGCAGAGCTGGGTCTCCCTGAGGAACAAACTGTAAGGTCCTGTAGCAAAGCTGGGTCTCCCTGAGGAACAAACTGTAAGGTCCTGTAGCAGAGCTGGGTCTCCCTGAGGAACAAACTGTAAGGTCCTGTAGCAGAGCTGGGTCTCCCTGAAGAACAAACTGTAAGGTCCTGTAGCAGAGCTCGGTCTCCCTGAGGAACAAACTGTAAGGTCCTGTAGCAGAGCTGGGTCTCCCTGAGGAACAAACTGTAAGGTCCTGTAGCAGAGCTGGGTCTCCCTGAGGAACAAACTGTAAGGTCTGGTAGCAGAGCTGGGTCTCCCTGAGGAACAAACTGTAAGGTCCTGTAGCAGAGCTGGGTCTCCCTGAGGAACAAACTGTAAGGTCCTGTAGCAGAGCTGGGTCTCCCTGAAGAACAAACTGTAAGGTCCTGTAGCAGAGCTGGGTCTCCCTGAGGAACAAACTGTAAGGTCCTGTAGCAGAGCTGGGTCTCCCTGAGGAACAAACTGTAGGGTCCTGTAGCAAAGCTGGGTCTCCCTGAGGAACAAACTGTAAGGTCCTGTAGCAGAGCTGTGTCTCCCTGAGGAACAAACTGTAAGGTCCTGTAGCAGAGCTGGGTCTCCCTGAGGAACAAACTGTAAGGTCCTGTAGCAAAGCTGGGTCTCCCTGAGGAACAAACTGTTAGGTCCTGTAGCAGAGCTGGGTCTCCCTGAGGAACAAACTGTAAGGTCCTGTAGCAAAGCTGGGTCTCCCTGAAGAAGAAACTGTAAGGTCCTGTAGCAGAGCTGGGTCTCCCTGAGGAACAAACTGTAAGGTCCTGTAGCAAAGCTGGGTCTCTCTGGGGAACAAACTGTAAGGTCCTGTAGCAAAGCTGGGTCTCCCTGAGGAACAAACTGTAAGGTCCTGTAGCAAAGCTGGGTCTCTCTGGGGAACAAACTGTAAGGTCCTGTAGCAAAGCTGGGTCTCCCTGGGGAACAAACTGTAAGGTCCTGTATCAGAGCTGGGTCTCCCTGAGGAACAAACTGTAGGGTCATGAAGCAAAGCTGTGTCTCCCTGAGGAACAAACTGTAGGGTCATGTAGCAGAGCTGTGTCTCCCTGAGGAACAAACTGTAGGGTCATGTAGCAGAGCTGTGTCTCCCTGAGGAACAAACTGTAGGATCATGAAGCAAAGCTGGGTCTCCCTGAGGAACAAACTGTAGGGTCCTGTAGCAAAGTTGGGTCTTCCTGAGGAACAAACTGTAAGGTCATGTAGCAAAGTTGGGTCTCCCTGAGGAACAAACTGTAGGGTCCTGTAGCAGAGCTGGGTTTCCATGCGGAACAAACTGTAAGGTCCTGTAGCAGAGCTGGGTCTCCCTGAGGAACAAACTGTAAGGTCCTGTAGCAAAACTGGGTCTCCCTGAGGAACAAACTGTAAGGTCCTGTAGCAGAGCTGGGTCTCCCTGGGGAACAAACTGTAAGGTCCTGTAGCAAAGCTGGGTCTCCCTGAGGAACAAACTGTAAGGTCCTGTAGCAGAGCTGGGTCTCCCTGAGGAACAAACTGTAAGGTCCTGTAGCAAAGCTGGGTCTCCCTGAAGAAGAAACTGTAAGGTCCTGTAGCAGAGCTGGGTCTCCCTGGGGAACAAACTGTAAGGTCCTGTAGCAAAGCTGGGTCTCCCTGGGGAACAAACTGTAAGGTCCTGTAGCAGAGCTAGGTCTCCCTGAGGAACAAACTGTAAGGTCCTGAAGGAGAGCTGAATTGTCCTGAGGAACAAACTGTAAGGTCCTGTAGCAGAGCTGGGTCTCCCTGAGGAACAAACTGTAAGGACCTGTAGCAAAGCTGGGTCTCCCTGAGGAACAAACTGTAAGGTCCTGTAGCAAAGCTGGGTCTCTCTGGGGAACAAACTGTAAGGTCCTGTAGCAAAGCTGGGTCTCCCTGGGGAACAAACTGTAAGGTCCTGTATCAGAGCTGGGTCTCCCTGAGGAACAAACTGTAGGGTCCTGTAGCAAAGCTGTGTCTCCCTGAGGAACAAACTGTAGGGTCATGAAGCAAAGCTGTGTCTCCCTGAGGAACAAACTGTAGGGTCATGTAGCAGAGCTGTGTCTCCCTGAGGAACAAACTGTAGGGTCATGTAGCAGAGCTGTGTCTCCCTGAGGAACAAACTGTAGGTTTATGAAGCAAAGCTGGGTCTCCCTGAGGAACAAACTGTAGGGTCCTGTAGCAAAGTTGGGTCTTCCTGAGGAACAAACTGTAAGGTCATGTAGCAAAGTTGGGTCTCCCTGAGGAACAAACTGTAGGGTCCTGTAGCAGAGCTGGGTTTCCATGCGGAACAAACTGTAAGGTCCTGTAGCAGAGCTGGGTCTTCCTGAGGAACAAACTGTAAGGTCCTGTAGCAAAGCTGGGTCTCCCTGAGGAACAAACTGTAAGGTCCTCTAGCAAAGTTGGGTCTCCCTGAGGAACAAACTGTAGGGTCCTGTAGCAAAGTTGGGTCTCCCTGAGGAACAAACTATAAGGTCCTGTAGCAAAGTTGGGTCTCCCTGAGGAACAAACTGTAAGGTCCTGTAGCAAAGTTGGGTCTCCCTGAGGAACAAACTGTAGGGTCCTGTAGCAAAGTTGGGTCTCCCTGAGGAACAAACTGTAAGGTCCTGTAGCAAAGCTGTGTCTCCCTGAGGAACAAACTGTAGGGTCCTGTAGCAAAGCTGTGTCTCTCTGAGGAACAAACTGTAAGGTCCTGTAGAAAAGTTGGGTCTCCCTGAGGAACAAACTGTAACGTCCTGTAGCAAAGTTGGGTCTCCCTGAGGAACAAACTGTAAGGTCCTGTAGCAGAGCTGGGTCTCCCTGGGGAACAAACTGTAAGGTCCTGTAGCAAAGCTGGGTCTCCCTGGGGAACAAACTGTAAGGTCCTGTAGCGGATCTGGGTCTCCCTGAGGAACAAACTGTAAGGTCCTGTAGCAAAGCTGGGTCTCCCTGAGGAACAAACTGTAAGGTCTGGTAGCAGAGCTGGGTCTCCCTGGGGAACAAACTGTAAGGTCCTGTAGCAGAGCTGGGTCTCCCTGAGGAACAAACTGTAAGGTCCTGTAGCAGAGCTGGGTCTCCCTGAAGAACAAACTGTAAGGTCCTGTAGCAGAGCTGGGTCTCCCTGAGGAACAAACTGTAAGGTCCTGTAGCAGAGCTGGGTCTCCCTGAGGAACAAACTGTAAGGTCCTGTAGCAGAGCTGGGTCTCCCTGAGGAACAAACTGTAAGGTCCTGTAGCAGAGCTGGGTCTCCCTGAGGAACAAACTGTAAGGTCCTGTAGCAGAGCTGGGTCTCCCTGAAGAACAAACTGTAAGGTCCTGTAGCAAAGCTGGGTCTCCCTGAGGAACAAACTGTAAGGTCCTGTAGCAAAGCTGGGTCTCCCTGAGGAACAAACTGTAGGGTCCTGTAGCAGAGCTGGGTCTCCCTGAAGAACAAACTGTAAGGTCATGTAGCAAAGCTAGGTTTTCCTGAGGAACACACTGTAAGTTCCTGTTCCATGTGGAACAAACTTGCAGAAAGATTAGGATAGGGCATTCGTCATACAAAGTCTCCCTGTGAAACATGCTGTTCAGGTAGTACATTTTTGTCAAGTGATGGGTTTCTATGTGGAAAAGACGCTAAAACATGGCTGGGGTGGGGCATTTGAGATCTCGAGGGATGTTTTAAACTGTGGAACAGAATCTTAACTAAGTTAGGGTCGGGTATTCTTTTTGCAAAGTTTGGTCAAGACATGGAATAGAACATTAGCAAGGCTAGGGTAGGGCCTTTCTGTTGCTGTTCTGGATGTTCCTGAATAACAGACTGTTAGCATGGTTGGCAAGGTAAACACGGGTTGGGGATGGGAATGAATTTTTGGGGTCAGAGCTCACTTAGCAGAGTTAGTGCAGGACATTCATGTTAGAGAAGTGGATCAGGGGATGCAACTGTTTGGCTAAGGTATTCCTATATTTCAATGTTCAGTGTCCTTTGTAGATGTGATGGAAAAGTGGCAGTAGTGTGGTCATGGCTCTCATCAGTGGGTATGTTAATACACCTATGAGAGAGACTTGGAGTTGATTGTTAGCCTTTGACCAATGCTTTCATAGTCAGTAAACTCCCTTGTCTGAGGATGTTGTCCCTAACCTTGCTATCTGAATAATTATTTATATGAAGAACATTTTCAAAATTAGACTTTTCACTGAAGTTATCATTTGTATTAACATGATTAAGGGACTGACCATTTGATCGGGTTTCATTACAGAAAATTGTTCCCCAAAATGCTTGAAAAAGGTAATTATGTTTCAGATTGTTTGAAAAAACAATGCATTATGTGCCACAAAAAATACATTGTTGCAAGAATTTTTTGTAAAATATCTATTAACTCGTATTTGTTATTGAAAAAATATGTGGTTTTGCAAGATATTTATCTCCATAGACATTCCCAGGCCCTATTG